GAAGTGAAAGAAAACAAAAAGATTTTGGGGCTACTTACGTAGTACTGCACTTCTCCTTTCTGAGATGCAGACGTTGTCCAGTAGGATTTGTGAAATGGTTGTACAGTAAATGAATGAAAAGATGGTAGGTGGTAGATGTTGAGAAAATGACACCTCCATCCACTCAGAAAATGAAACCATAATTTCTTGTTTTCTTCTCCTTTATAAGCCCTTTGCACTCTGTTCATTTCTTGTGTTCTTTGCACCGTTTTACATTTATATATATGTATGTATGTATGTATAACAAGAACATAGGTTTTTGTTGAGATGGAGGATTACAATGTTGTTGTTCAAGAATACTGTCTTCCTGGGAAAAGAAATGCTCCCTTATTTGCTTGGCCTTGGGAAAATTTGGGTCATTTCAAGGCATGCATGCACTTTTTATCCTCTTCTGCAACTAATTAATTTTGTATGAATTGAAATTATGTGTTTCTACTTTCAATTTATAACTTTTTTTTTTTTGTGAACAGTATTTATTATATGGACCATTTATTGCAAAATTGATGTATTCATTGGTTTGGAGAAAGAAGTGGGAAGATGTTTGGTGCTTACATATTCTTGCCTTGTGTGCCCTGAGAGGTTTAGTTCATCAGTTATGGAGTAGTCATACTAATATGCTCTTCTTTCATCGCCCGAAACGGGTGTATAGACGGGGCGTAGATTTCGAGCAAATTGACAAGGAATGGCATTGGTATGATTGAGTTTTGTTTCCCACTTCAATTCCTAGTACATACTGTTTGTTGAGCCATTAATGTGCAATCCAACTATCAGCTTAAGCTTTTAGTTGAGATAGAGCGCATGCATCAATTTGGTATCAGAGTCAGACCAAAGGTCCCCACGTGAGGGGGCGTGTTGAGCCATTAATGTGCAATCCAACTAGCTTAAGCTTTTAGTTGAGATGCTTAAGCTGTTAGTTGAGATGGAGCCATGCTTCAATTCATACAGTATTGTATATATGTTTGGATATGGTCTGTATGTATCATGTTGTTTATGCTTAATCTTGAACATATACATACAGGGACAATTTCTTATTACTCCAAGCCATTATGGGTGCATTTGTATATTTGAGCTTCCCTTCCCTGGCCAATCTTCCCATTTGGGATGCAAGAGGGGCGATTTGCTGTGTTGCATTGCATATGGGGCTCTCCGAGCCGCTCTACTATTTGATGCATAGGCTATTGCACACTCGGGATCTCTTCCCGCTTTATCACTGGCTACACCACCACTCCAAAGTCCCGCATCCCTTTACAGGTACAAATAAGTAATAATCGTATACTCGTTTATTCATAATTCTTGAGTAATTAAGCGTTACGTTTTGTCTGGTGCAGCTGGGAGTGCAACGTTTCTGGAGCACCTCTTACTGTGTGTAATTGTTGGGATTCCGACTCTGGGGACTGTGTTTCTTGGATATGGATCCATCGTAATTCTGTATAGTTACGTTTTGGTGTTCGATTTCCTTAGGTGTTTGGGGCTTAGCAATGTTGAAATCATGCCTTGTAGCCTCTTTCAGGCTGTTCCCCTTCTCAAGTACCTTATTTATACCCCTACGTAAGGCTCGATCTCTTTGTGTCCAACATCTATCTACATCCATATATAGTTTGAACTTAATTAGTTTTTCGTAACGACTTTCTGGCTCAATATATATATATATATAGGTACCATAGCCTGCACCATATGGATATGAGGACTAATTTTTGCCTCTTCATGCCTCTCTATGATATGTTGGGGAAGACGATAAATAGCCTTTCCTGGGATCTTCAGAGAGAAATCAAGTCAAGAACAAGTGAGCTAGCTAGCTGATCTTGAATAAAGTCATTTTAATTTGCACTAATTATATTCTTTAAGATCCTTTAATTTAGATTGTGTGTCCTGGGATGCAGATGAAAGGGCACCCGATTTCGTGTTCCTTGCACACGTAGTGGACATTATGTCATCGTTGCATTCTCCATTTGTGTTTCGGTCCTTCAGCTCGATTCCCTTCAGTTCAAGACTCTTCTTGTTACCGGTGTGGCCTTTAGGCTTCGTGGCAATGATGCTCATGTGGCTCAAGTCCAAGACTTTCTTGTTCAGCTTTTACCATCTTAAAGGGAGGTTGCACCAGACATGGGCTGTTCCAAGATACGGTTTTCAGGTATCCCGACTTCTCTCATCTTCTTCATATTTAACATCGATCCAAACTTTTTTAGATCGATCCCCAGGGTATTGAAAGCTAGCTACACTTTGCAGTATTTCTTGCCTTTTGCTACACAAGGCATAAATAAACAAATCGAACAAGCTATCCTTCGGGCTGATAAACTTGGCACCAAGGTCATTAGCCTCGCTGCATTAAACAAGGTCTGTCATATTTCTTTCTGTTCTTTAGTTTAAGCTGTCTAGTTTGGAAAATCGTTGTTTAGCTGATTATAAGGTTTGTGGAAGAATTAGAATGAAGGGTTGAATGGAGGTGGAACACTTTTTGTGAGCAAGCATCCCAATCTTAAAGTGCGAGTGGTTCATGGAAACACCCTCACTGCTGCTGTAATCTTAAACAATATTCCTGGAGATGTTAGTGAGGTTTTCCTCACTGGTTCCACTTCTAAACTAGGAAGGGCCATTGCCCTCTACCTGGCCCGTCGACATGTGAGAGTTCTGGTAATATCTGCTCTGCTCCATCCACTATCAATCCTAGTTCGATCTGTGATGAGACTCTGTTCATTTACTGTGTTTTCGATATATGATGGTGCAGATGCTTACTAAATCGAGGGAGAGATTCTTGAAAATCCAAAGAGAGGCAGGGGTGGAGTGCCAAAAGTTTCTAGTTCAAGTTGCCAAGTATCAAGCAGCTGAACACTGCAAGGTAATGTTAATTAAGTTAAGTTAGATGAGATGTGTTGGGCAGAGGCCAATAAAGGGCCAAGTCCAGTAATTTGTAATTGGGCGGAGGGCCAAGTCCAGCAATTGGTGATTGGGCAGAGGTCAGTAAAGGGCCAAGTCCAGCAATTTGTAGTTGGGCGAGGATCAAGTCCAGCAATTGGTGGTTGAGCAGAGGCCAGTAAAGGGCCAAGTCCAGTAATTTGTAGTTGGGCGGAGGGTCAAGCCCAACAATTGGTGGTTGGGCAGAGGTCAGTAAAGGGCCAAGTCCAGCAATTGGTGGTTGAGCAAAAGCCAGTAAAGGGCCAAGTCCAACAATTTGTAGTTGGGCGGAGGGTCAAGTCCAGCAATTGGTGGTTGGGCAGAGGCAAGTAAAGGGCCAAGTCCAGCAATTTGTGGTTGGACGGAGGGCCAAGTCCAGCAATTGGGGTTGTGCAGAGGCTGGTGAAGATCCAGCACCCTGCTTCTCAAAAATATAAAGAAATAAAGTTGCACATTCGCTGAAAGCTATAACTTTTGGCGTGATGGTAAGAGTATATGGTTTTTGGTTCCACCTAACATGGAGGGGTTGTAGTGTAGACATGGATAATTGGGAAATGGAGCAGTCCGGGAGAGCAAAGGTGTGCTCCATCCGGAACGCATTTTCATCAGTTTGTGGTTCCTCCGATCATCCCATTCCGCAGAGACTGTACTTATGGGAAGTTAGCAGCTATGAAGCTCCCCAAGGATGTCAAGGGCCTCGAATCATGCGAGGTAGGCACATAAATACACTCATATATGTTTAATGATTTTAAGTTTTGAACACCATTAAGTAGAAGAATTGTTTCAGTACTCGATGGGAAGAGGGGTGGTTCATGCGTGCCACGCAGGTGGGATGGTTCATTTTCTTGAAGGATGGAGTCATCACGAGGTGGGAGCCATTGATGTGGACCAGATTGATGTTGTGTGGAAGGCTGCATTAAACCATGGATTAGAGCCCTTGTAGACATTGGACATAGCTCTAATGTTCTAATGTAAACCAAGTGATTTAAAAATACCCTACTTAACTACACGTAAAAATGTAATAAAACTCCATTAATGATTCTTGTTAATTGAGTCAATACCTTTTAGTTCTCAACTATGTTAATTGAATCTTTTGTTAAGGTAGTAATTTATTCTCTATTAATATTTAATATAGTAGTTTTATATAATTATAGCCTTATAGGGAGTGTTGGGTAGTAATAGTTATTAGCTGATTGTGTTAGTGAGTTTGATTAATTGATAGTATTGACGGATTGTATGCAAAATGACTTTGAGTTTGATTAATTGATAGTATTGACGGATTGTATGCAAAATGACTTTGTTGCTTTGAGTGGATGGATGATAGTATACGAGGATTAACACCTTGAATATGAGGTTTCATAGGGTCTTAACAAGAGAATTCCTATCAATAAAATTTAAGTAAAATTAAGAAAACAAATAATAAAAGACACATTACACAAAAACAAAGATCTAAGCTAACTTGATATGTTGTTCGGATGCTCTCATCCGTATGAACAAATCCTGCCGCCTAACCCCCACCTAATGAAGAAATACACAATAGATCGGTGTATTTGGTGTTTTTTGAGCAGTAAGTAGTGATTTTACCTAATTTAATTATAATAGTTTTACACAATTTAGGACTCAATTATTAAAGTCTGGGATAACTCTTATCCCAATGATAAGATATCTACACTTATAATTATAAAATCATGAATACGAGTTTGAATTCTTGCCCCTTAGTTTGAGCTGATTAGCGTTAGTTTGAGCCAATTGACTTAGGGTTAGTTTATATTTATGACTAAATTAAGTATTAATTGCTGTAAAGATAGTGATGATAGTAAAAGAAAGAAAAGAGTTTGATCGGAAAAATGATTTTTATATATATATGTAAGTGTTGGGGTGGAAGGTTCCGCCGCCATTTACAGGCATTTCTTGCGGCCTTCTTTTATTTGCTGACAATTTCAATTGGGAAAAGCAACAAAAAAATTCCTCAAGAGATTATTATTTATTCGCCGTCGTCTTCACGTCCCCGACTGGTTCTTGCCCAGCTGCTAAAACCAAAAAAACTTCTCTCATTTCCGGCTCTCAAATCATAGCATGAAGAAGAAGAAGAGGTTTGCTGAGATAATCGCCATTACAAAGCCCAAACAAGCTTCTCGGGCTGTGGTAGCCGCCGAGGAATCCCCCTCCCCGTTGGGTCCCGAAGCAGGACTGTCGGTTTCCGGCACCGACGGTGAAACACCGGGTGGGGAAAGTGCTGACGGAGAGTCTGAAGGAGAGTCTGAAGGAGAGTTTGAAGGCGGCAGCAACTTCCTCGGCGACGGTGCAGCTGCCGGAGACTTGCCATGCTTCTGATGAGACGGCGGCGCAGCCTTTGGGGCAATGGACTCAACGCCGGGCGGGATAATCAAGCTGCTAATCTGCAAAATGGAAATATCGTAGCCCTCGTGAGCGACGGCGCTGATCAAATTTGACCCCTGTGGCGCATTCTTCACGGCGGAGCCAATCATCACCGTCTTGCCGCCGGTATCGGTGGCGTTCAAGAACCCCTGTTCGCCGGAGGCCATGCCCGTCGACTGGAACAGCGTCGTCAACTTGGTGGTCTTCTTCTCCAAGGTCGTGAACTTCTTAACGTCGTAGTAATCAAGAACGATGTGAACCGCCATGACACTCTTGATCACGTCCTTGGACTTCCCCGACAGAGCCCCCATGCCGCCGTTGTCCACCGCTAAAACCGTGACGGTTCCCCGCGAGTTGATCTCGCCGGCGAGACGGGTCTCCGTCAAGTACTGGTTGAAGTTGTTGAAATTCGGGTACTTGTCAAGCATGGTGGTCACATTGAAGGCTCCGCAACTCCACACCATAATGGAGAATGACGCCAGGAAGAAGAAGATGATTTTAGACTCCATTTTCAATAATTATTTGAGTTTTTTTTTTTTTTTGTTTTCTGTTTGTTTTTTTTTTCCTCCTTAAAAGGGAGATTGAGAGTGGGATGATTGAAAGATGGAGTTTGGGGGATGTATATATAGTGCAGAATGCAGATTGTAGTGTTGAGAAGATGAGAGTTGAAAGCGTCTTGCGCCTCTTTTGTAGAAAATCTGTGGGGGAGAATAATTTGAAGGAAAGTTAGTGCCACTTTTCATGATAGGAGTAGTTAGCATAATCCAATTTGATTAACCTTATTGTTAATGAATTATATCTTCTTCTTTAAAAAAAATATATATCATTAATGGATTTAAAATCGTATGTTATTAGTATGGTAAATTGTCATCACAAAATATTATACATATTTAAATTAATTATGGCATGCAGGGACGGAGCTATAGTGGGAGCAGCGGGGCAAGTGTCCCTGCCCACACACCACCCCATAAACCCATATATCACTCTAGTAATAAGTAATTATATTATATTTATATATATAGTATATGTTTATGTATAAGTATAAAATACAAATAAAAGTAAAGGAAGGATGAGTTGGTAAAGTATGTATGTAATTTATGAAAAGTTTTGAGTTTGAATCCTTCATTAATATGATTTAGTGTGGTGCTTGTTAGTTTTACTTATATTTATTACGTATTTTATTTTTCACCCATATCCAACAATGATCATTTTTAATATATTTTTTCATCATATCCAACAATTATCATTTTTTTTAATATATTAATAATGAGATGTATAATTTATAATGTGTTTTATATTCGAATCATTTTATAAAAGTAATTATGTTTTCATATTTTGTTATGATTATTTTTATAAAGTTTTGATGTGTTTTATTTTTCGTTCATGTCCAACAATATTTATAGTCATACTTTTATTTATTTTTTTAAACTATCTTTTTTTTTTTTTAATATTTACCCAACTGGAAATTTTTTTTTTTGGCTCTGCTCCTGATTGAATGTGATGAAGCCATGGGGTCTGTCTTGGCCTCAAGGACAATTGGGTCAAAGAGTAGAGATACATGATTGAATTTAATATAGGGAATAGTCTGGCCATGACAAGGTTTTTGGGACTTAAATTGGAAGAAAGGAAACTTGATGATGTGAATTTGAGTAAGAAGTAAAATTATGGGGCTGAGGTGTAAATACTGGATTGATGGAGTCTAAAGTGTGCTAAAGCGGAGAGTATAGGGGGCCAAGGTGCAAAGATTGGAAGAATATGGTACAAAGTGAAGGAGGGAGAAAGTTTAGGAGTTAAAGTGGACAAGATGGTGGATGAAATTTTTCCGTTTGCTCGGTCGGTAGAGTCGTCCCCGCACCTAGCCATGGATGCGTACAATCATTGTTTACCACCACCAATTGTTGCTAACTACAGCTTACCAACCATGGAAATTGCATATATACGAGCATTAAAGGTAAAGGCACATTTAACAAATATGAAAATGGACTAAGGACGCGTTTGGTAACATAATATTAAGCAAAAGTCAATAAAACACCAAGAAGTGGAAAAGTGGCAACATGTTTGCACCTAGCAAGCATGTTTTGATATCGCGCTCACCAGTTGATAATCACTTTGAATTGTTTAATGTTTATGTTTATTATATTATTTTCTAGTTGCCTGGTTGGTACTATGACCGTGTTTCACTTATGTTGCATCATGCATGGTCGTCCCATTTAGGAATACATGCATACAATGTACATATGTATTGTTTGGCATAATGTTCCCATAATATTTCTTTATTGGACAACCGTCTAAACCTTGTTTGTGATATATTATACTTCTATTTATTAAAGCATTATAGATTGCACCAAGACTCTCAATTACTCATTAAAAGACCAAGAATGTTCAAACTTATGCAAAATCATAATTATCAACTTTTTTAAAAACATTTTTTTCTAATTTAATTTGTTGTTAAAATTTTTAAAGTAATATATAATTTTAATAACATATTATTTGAATTGAAATTTTATAATTATCAATTAAATTAAATTTTGACATGTTTAATTTAAAGATAAATAGTAATAATTATAATTATAATTATAATTTTTAGAATGATAATAAATAAATATGATTTTTAATTTGTAAATTGGCAGGTTCACAAAAAAAAACATAGAAAAAAAATCAAACTATTGAAAATAATGATTTTTGAGATTGAGTGAGATACTAAAGGATGAGATAGATGATGGAGCCTTATAAAAAAAATTGGAGAAAAAACCTCAATCGGTAAGTTTTTTTTTTTTTTTTTTGGTTAAATAATCACAAATAGTATTGCACATACTTTAGATAGGAAAGTCATTTCTATGTCTTCTATGTCTGTTTTGTAGTACTTGGTTTTCTTGTCAATCTTTTATCATTATAGTTTGATGTTAGATTAATAATTTTTTTTAAATAAATAAATTATCAGGACCGGGTCCACTATAAACCGGATAGTTTGATGTTAGATTAATGATTTTTTAAAATAAATAAATTATCGGGACCGAGTCCACTATAAACCGGATAGTTTGATGTTAGATTAATGATTTTTTTAAATAAATAAATAAATTATCAGAACCGGGTCCACTGGTACAGAGCGAGGGGAGCGTGGGTAGGATAAGAGTAACTTGAGCGTGGGTAGGATAAGAGAGTAACTTTACGGCACTAGACCCATAAGAGAGTAACTTTACGGCACTAGACCCAACGTACAAAGCCTACGACACTAGCCCAAAATAGTACGTACAAAACCCAAAATAGTGACCCAAATATGTGACACCACCCTCTTCTAGGAGGGACCCGCCATCCTCCTCTTAGCCCACTTTCGTCAACCAAATCATAAGTCCATCAATCCTTAAGCCCGTACCTAATATCCCCATTAGATTCAAGATTCAATGAGAAATTAAGTAAAAAAATTTATATTATTAGTAAGAGTCAAACTTGATGAACACAACATATTGTAATAGAGTCACTACAATTGAAACATGTGCTCCACTCATTTTCGGCCCTCAATTCATAGCATGAAGAAGAAGAGGTTTGCTGAGATAATCGCCATTACAAAGCCCAAACAAGCTTCTAGGGCTGTGGTAGCCGAGGAATCCGACTCCCCGTTGGGTCCCGAAGCAGGGCTGTCAGTTTCCGTCGCTGCTGGTGCAACACCGGATGGGGTAAGTGCCGACGGAGAGTCTGAAGGAGAGTTTGAAGGCGACAGCAACTTCCTCGGCGACGGTGCAGCTGCCGGAGACTTGCCATGCTGCTGATGAGACGGCGGCGCAGCCTTTGGGGCAATGGACTCAACGCCGGGCGGGATAATCAAGCTGCTAATCTGCAAAATGGAAATGTCGTAGCCCTCGTGAGCGACGGCGCTGACCAAATTTGACCCCTGCGGCGCATTCTTCACGGCGGAGCCAATCATCACCGTCTTGCCGCCAGTATCGGTGGCGTTCAAGAACCCTTGATCGCCGGAAGCCATGCCGGTCGACTGGAACAAAGTCGTCAACCTGGTGGTCTTCTTCTCCAAGGTCGTGAACTTCTTAACGTCGTAGTAATCAAGAACGATGTGAACCGCCATGACACTCTTGATCACGTCCTTGGACTTCCCCGACAGAGCCCCCATGCCGCCGTTGTCCACCGCTAAAACCGTGACGGTTCCCCGCGAGTTGATCTCGCCGGCGAGATGAGTCTCCGTCAAGTACTGGTTGAAGTTGTTGAAATTCGGGTACTTGTCAAGCATGGTGGTCACATTGAAGGCTCCGCAACTCCATACCATAATGGAGAATGACGCCAGGAAGAAGAAGATGATTTTAGACTCCATTTTCAATAATTATTTGAGTTTTTTTGTTTTCTGTTTGTTTTTTTTTTCCTCCTTAAATGGGAGATTGAGAGTGGGATGATTGAAAGATGGAGTTTGGGGGATGTATATATAGTGCCATTGCAGAGTGCTGATAGAATGCAGATTGTGGTGTTGAGAAGATGAGAGTTGAAAGCGTCTGGCGCCTCTTTTGTAGGAAATCTGTGGGGTAGAATAATTTGAAGGATAGTTAGTGAAATTTTAGTTCCACTTTTCATGATAGGATTAGTTAGCATAATCCAATTTTTTTTTTTTTTTTTTTGAAAGTAGCATAATCCAATTTGATTAACCTTGTTTTTAATGAATTATATCTTCTTCTTCTTCTTCTTCTTCTTTTTTTTTTTTTTCAAGTCATTAATGGATTAAAAATCATACGCTGTTAGTATGATAAATTGTCATCACTATATATACATATCAAATTAATCATTCTTCCAAAAGGCTGAACCACATCCCTAAGGGCCCCCACACCCCGACTCGACAGAGCATTTGGGAGGATGTAAATCATGGTAATTTAATTGAACATGAACCACAGAGGCTAGACATGTGCTCACTGCGCACAAGGAACCCCCTCACTTTGACATATCAAATTAATCATTGTATGCAGGGACGAAGCTACAATCGGGACAGTAGGGGCAACTAGCTTTTATATATATATAAAATACATGTTTAGGTATAATTATAAAATATTCTGTACAAGAAAAGATGAGTTGGTTAAGTTGCCCGCCCAATAAAACTAAAATTCTCTCTCTAGGGTAAAACTAGGGTTTCGGTCTCTCTAGGGAAACCTAGGTTTATTCTTGCGTTTTTCCGATCAGTAACTACGGCGGGGAACGCCGGACTTCTACGACGAGCAGCGCAGCTTCGATCTAACGTAAGGCGAGGCAGTGTGTAAGCAGCAGGAATGGCGGACGAACGCAGTGAGGTCGAGAGGTTGACGGCACAGTGGGAGGGTTTTGATTTGGAGGATGAGTTTGTGCCGGAGGGAGAAGGGGTTGGCGAGCTCCAGGACAATGACGAGGAGACATGGGCTGTTGTTGGCAGGTTCCTAACTACGAAACTGGTCAAATTGGAGTTCATGAAGCAGGTTATGGCATCCGTATGGCAACCGGTGAGGGGGGTGCAGGTTACGGAGATCCAACCAGGACTTTTCTTGTTTGTCTTTTATCATAAGACGGACATAGATTACGTCTTGGATGGGGGTCCATGGGGTTTCGAAAATAATTCTTTGGTATGTCGGGAGGGGGTGGCCGGAGCGGTGCCTGGGGAGATGGAATTGAACTCAATTGATATGTGGGTTCAGTTGCATGGATTGCCGATGGGGTATACGTCAGATACGGTTCTTAAGCAGGCTGGAAACTTTATAGGCAAGTTTGTGAAACATGATGAGAGGTTCGCGGGAACACCGTGGCTTACATTCTATCGGATCCGCGTATCTATTGCGGTAGGGAAGCCGTTGAGGCGTGGCATGAAATTGGTGAAACGAGATAAGTCGGTGAGTTGGATAACTTTTCGGTATGAACGTCTACATAAACATTGTACGTTTTGTGGGATGTTGGGTCATGTTCACATGTTCTGTCTGAAAGCACGTGAGAGGCCGACACCAGTTGAGAAACACCCGTTTATAGGGTTACGGGCGGGAGGAAGTAGGGGAACACCGAGGGCGGTGGGGGAAAATTGGCTAGTGCCGGTTGGGGGGAAACCGAAACCTAGGGTGAGGGAGGAGGTGGGGGAGGGTGTGGAAAGTGGCGGTGCAGGGGGGCGGGAAGAGGGGGAGATAAGGGAGGGCAGTACGGGGGTTGGGGAGAGGGTGGAGGAAGTGGTGGCAACTGCCAAGCGCCGCCGAGGGGCTGAGGGTGAAGGAAAGGATGTGGCTCTGACCGATGTGTCAAAAAACTTGCAATTGGCGGGAACTGGAGCACAGTCCCGCCCATCATCATGAGTACGATAAGTTGGAACTGTCGTGGCTTGGGCAATCCACGTACAGTTCGAGAGATTGTGGACCTTGTGTCCGGGAAGAAGCCTGACTTTGTATTTCTAATGGAAACGATGGTGCAACGGGATCATGCGGAAAGGCTCCGTGTGAGGATAGGTTTTGAAGGTTTGTTCTATATGGATAATGTGAGGAATGGTGGGGGACTGGCTTTGTTGTGGAGGAAGAATAATACAGCTACGCTTCTGGGTTATTCAAAGAACCATGTGGATATTGAGGTCCGTATGCCATCAGGAGAGACATGGCGTATGACATGTTTCTATGGCTTCCCTAAGAGTAGTCAACGGAGAGAATCATGGGAGTTGCTGAAACCTTTGGTGGGGAAGTCTCCGCTTCCGTGGGTTGTAATAGGAGATTTTAATGATCTCTTATTCCAACATGAGAAAAGGGGAAACAATCCACATCCAGATAATTTTCTCCGGGGTTTTAGTGAAGCTGTGGATGAGTGTGGCTTGCGTCAGTTACCTATGAGGGGATATCAATTCACTTGGGAGAAATATAGTGGAACGGATCAATGGTTGGAGGAGAGATTAGATAAGGTGTTGGCAACGATGAAGTGGTGTGATGCGAATGGAAGGGCGGGTGTAGAGAATATAATTACTAGTAACTCAGATCACTCAGCTCTGTTCCTTGATATGAATGCACAACGAAGGGGGGGGGGGGCGGGGGGGGGAGGAAGGATTCCGAGGAGGTTCAGGTTTGAGATGGCATGGTTGCTGGATGATGGGTGTAGAGATGTGGTGGAAACTGCCTGGCAAGGGGGGAGGACAGAGGGGTTGTTGAATTGTCAGCAACGTTGTGGGGATAGACTGATGCGCTGGGGCGGTGACCGTTTTCATAAGTTTGGGGAGCACATCCGGCGGCTCCGCAAGGAGCAGGGGCGGATCCGTGGTAGGAGGGATCCGGCATCTTTGGCTCAGTTCCAGCTGTTGAGTAATCATATTTCCCAGTTAGAAACCCAGGAAGATGTTTTTTGGAGGCAGAGAGCAAAGCAGCATTGGCTTCGTGGCGCAAATGCGAATACAAAGTATTATCACAGGTATGCTTCTGCTAGAAAGAAAAAGAATTTTGTTACTAAGTTGTTGAATGAGTCTGGGGTATGGGTGGAGGGATAGGATATGAATAATGTAGTACTCAACTATTTCAATGAAATTTATGCTACTAGTAATCCTGTGTGTGAGGACCCTTTATTTGATGAGTTTGGCCCCTGTGTGACGACTGACCAGAATGAAGTATTGTTGTGTCCCTATGATGTGGCCGAGGTCAAAACTGCTTTATTTGCCATGTATCCTGACAAGGCACCGGGACCGGATGGAATGAATCCGGGATTTTATCAGCGTTTCTGGGATATAGTTGGGGAGGATGTGGCTGGTTTTATTGTTAATTGCTTGAATTCAGGTGAAATTCCGAATGATTTGAATGCTACCAATATTATTTTGATTCCAAAGAAGAATAATCCTACAACTGTGGCGGATTTGAGGCCTATTGCCCTTAGCAATGTTTTGTATAGAGTTATGGCAAAAATGATTGCCAACAGGTTGAAACCTATGCTGGGGGATTTGATTTCAGAATCCCAGAGTGCCTTCATCCCAGGGAGGCTAATAACGGATAATATACTTGTGGCGGCGGAGGTGGGCCACTTTTTGAATCGAAAGCAATGTGGAATAGCAGGATGGGGAGCACTAAAACTGGATATGGCTAAAGCTTATGATAGAATGGAGTGGCCATTCTTGGAAAAGATGCTGGAGGTAATGGGTTTTGATGAACGGTGGATTAGACTGATAATGACATGTGTTACCACTGTATCATACAGTGTTATGGTGAATGGCGTGAGTGGAGGCCAGGTGTAACCAACAAGGGGTCTCAGACAGGGAGATCCACTTTCACCTTTCCTATTCATTATTTGTGCTGAAGGTCTATCCATGCTCTTACAGAAAGCGCAGGCAGTGGGATCTATTCACGGGTGTAGGGTGGCGAGGGGGGCTCCCCCAATATCACATCTTTTCTTTGCTGATGATAGCTTATTGTTCTTTAAAGCAAATGTCCAGGAAGCTATAGTGGTCAAGCAGTGTTTGGAAAGATATGGGAGTTATCTGGTCAGTTGGTGAACTATCATAAATCTAATATATGCTATAGTAGGAATACTGGAGAACAGATGAGGGAGGAAGTAGCAGACTGTCTGGGCGTGAAACAAGCACGGAATTTTGGAAAATATCTGGGGCTACCCTCGTTTGTAGGGAGAAATAAAAGGGTCGTTTTCTCTTATGTGGAGGATAAAATCAGACAAAGAGTTTTCTCGTGGAACAAGAAATTGCTATCACAGGCTGGTAAAGAAGTGCTTTTGAAAAGTGTGGCTCAGTCTATGCCCACTTTTTCAATGAGTGTTTTTTTGCTCCCTGAATCAGTTTGCGAGTCAATTCAAAGGGCCATGAATAGGTATTGGTGGGGAAAAGGACAAGAAAGAGGAATCCACTGGAAAGCATGGGATAAATTGTGTATCCCTAAAAAGTTTGGTGGACTGGGGTTTAAAGATCTGAGGAATTTTAATCTTGCGATGTTGGGTAAACAGGCATGGCGATTTTTAACTAACCCGGAGTCTCTAGCAGCAAGAATATATAAAGCAAGATACTACCCGAAGACTTCTTTTGTTGATGCAACGGTGGGAAACAATCCCAGTTTTTGTTAGCGGAGTATTATGGCTGCTCATGATTTTGTTGTTGCCCATGTACGGAGGAGAATTGGAAATGGCCAGGAAACTTTAATATGGGGTCATCCGTGGTTGCAGGATAATCCTAGTCCACTGGTTCAAACAGTAATGCCGGAACCATTAAGGGATGCAGTTGTAGCAGGTTTAATAGATCAGCAAACAAAAACATGGGACCCCCATATTTTATCAGATCTATTTGAACCTGAGGATGTGGATCGTATTCTAAAAATACATGTGAGCCCAGATTATAGAGACACATGGTATTGACATAATGACCCGAATGGTTGCTACACGGTAAAGGATGCTTATAGGCGCCTAATGGGAGAGTTTAATCACACTTTGGGAGATTTTGATAGATGGATTACATTGTGGAAGTTGAAAGTTCCACCCAAATGGAAAACTTTCTTATGGAGAGCGGTGTGTGATATACTCCCAACCACAACAAATTTGATTATAAAGAGGGTAGATGTGAACCCAACATGTATGTTGTGTGGTCTTGCTAATGAGAATGTTATGCACTCATTAGTTTTATGTGATTATTCTGGAGCTGTATGGAATATTTCGGGGCTGCCTATTATGAATATTTTTTCAACGTCTTTCCCGAACTGGCTTTTGACTGTTATGGATATGCTCACAGGCGAACAAGTCAGACGCGTTGTGGGGGTCCTCTATTTTTTATGGATGGCCAGAAACGAGGCGGTCTGGGAACATGCGGTAAGGAGGCCGGATGTGGTGTGGCGCCGTGCAGCTGCGGGAGAGGCGACCTACACGGCAGTCCACGCCCGCCCAGTGGCGCCACCAGCCGAAGGAGTGCAGGCAGTGGCGGCCGGACGGGCGACGTGCCACGTCGACGCCGGCTACGATCCGAACACCGGCAATGCAACCTATGGGGCGGTTCTACTCGGTCCGGATGGTGTGTTCAAAGCAGCGGCAAATGGAAAGCTCCCGGGGTGTTTTACTCCTCTTATGGCGGAAGCGCTAGCATGCAAGGAAGCCTTGTCCTGGCTTAAAGACCGAAACGAGAGCGAGGTGGATATTCTTACAGATTGTCTTGTTTTAAGGAATGCGGTTCATGCAGTTACTACACCGAACTTATCCTATGTTGGAATTGTGATTGAGCAATGTAGGACAGCTATGGGTAGTTTCATTTATTGTTCGCTTAGTTATGTTCCTAGAGCTTTAAATTTACATGCGCATACTCTTGCTAGTTTAGCCTATGATCAGGATCATTCTATGTACTGGGATTTAATCCCTCCTGACTCTATCACTCAATTTCTGAATTAATATACTGGTACGCCATATTTCAAAAAAAAGAGTTGGTTAAGTTGATAAGGCATGTATATATGCAACTTATGAAAGGTTCTGGATTTAAATTTTCCATTCATTAACATGATTTAGTGTGGTGCTTGCTAGTTTTATTTATATTTATTATGTATTTTATTTTATTTTTCACATATATCGAACAATGATATTTTTTAAATATATTTTTTCACCGCATCCAACAATTATTATTTTTTTAATACATTAATAATGAAATGTGTAATTTATAATGTGTTTTATATTTGAACCACTTTATCAAAGTAACTATGTTTCATATTTTGTTATGATTATTTTTATAAAGTTCTGATATATTTATTTTTCGTACATATCCAACAATATTTTATAGTTATGTTTCCTATGTGTTTTATTTATTTTTTAAAACTATCTTTTTTTTTTTGTTTTAATATTTGTCCCCACTAAAAAATTTTCTGGCTCGGCCCCTGATTGCATGTGATGGAGCCATGGGGTTTGGCTTGGGCTCAACGACAATTGGGTTAAAGAGTAGAGATACAACAATGAATTTAATCTAGGGAATAGTCGGGGCATGACAAGGTTTTTGGGACTTAAATTGGAAGAAAGGAAAGTTGATGATGTGAATTGGAGTAAGAAGTAAAATTATGAGACTGAGGTGTAACTACTGGATTGATGGAGTCTAAAGTGTGCTAAAGCGAAGAGTATAAGGGGCCAAGGTGCAAAGATAGGAGGGTTATGGTACAAAGTGAAGGAGTGAGAAAGTTTAGGAGTTAAGGGCATCCTCAATAGTGAGGATTTTGGTGAAAAAAATGGGAGAAGAGGGAAAAGAGAAAAGAAAAAAAAAAAAATCAAAAACTGAAAAAATGGATTTATGCACCTAGGCTGACACGTGCAGTCCATGCACCTACCTAGGCGCAAGAGTTGTGCCTCACATGCGTGAGGCGCACCTCTCTCCTCAAACAATGGGCCCCACAATCCTGCAATCCCAAGGTCTTGCAGAAAGCACCCACATTCTCTCTCTCCCATCTCTCTCCCATACCTCACACTTTTCTCCTCAAAACCTAGTCCAAAAATCCCTTTTGGGGATGCTCTAAAGTGCACAGAAGTGCAAAGTACATGCATCATAGCACAAAAGCCTAGGATAGGGGAATGCTTGGAGACTATTTGACAAATGAGAGAAAAAATAGACTCAATATTAGTGGACAAGGTGGTGGATGGAGTCTTTCAGTTGCTCAATCGATAAAGGCGTCCCCACACCTAGTCATAGATGCATACAGTCATTGCTTACAACCAATAACCACAGATAACTACATCATACCATCAAGGACAATTGCATACGAGCATTAAAGGTACGTAATGACACGTTTAACAAATATAAAAATGGACTAAGGATGTGTTTGGTAACACAATATTGAGCAAAAGTCAATAAAACACCAAAGAGTGAAAGAGCGGCAACAGGCTTGCACCTAGCAAGCATGTTTTGATAACGTGCCCACCAGTTGATAATCACTTTGAATTATTTTATGTTTACTTTTATTTTTATTTTTACGTTTATTCTTTCCTAGTTGCCTGGTTGGTACTATGACCCTCTGTTCACTTATGCTACATCATGCATGGTCATCCAATTTAGGAATACAATGTACATATATATTGTTTGGCATAATGTTCCCACAATATTCCAATATTGGACAACAGCCTAAACCTTGTTTGTGTTATATTATTATACTTCTATTCATTAAATATAATCATTATAAATTGCACCATGACTCTCAATTACTCATAAAAGGCCAAAAATGTTCAAACTTATGCAAAATCATAATTATCAACTTGTTTAAAAACATTTTTTCTAATTTAATTTTGTTGTTAAAAATTTTAAAGTAATATATAATTTTAATAACATATTATTTAAAAATAAATAGTAATAATTATATTTTAAGACTGCATATCATTACGCACTATCATAAGTCAAAATATTACAAATAAATTGGGAACGTTGCATGAACTATTTTCAACGATAACTTGATAAGACATAAAAACAGATTCAATAGTAAACACATAAGTACATAACAATCCTATTTATTGACTATTTGACAAACGAGATAAAAATATTATAAAATTGATGAATTAAATCTTTTACATCACCAAGACTATGTGGTCTAATGGTACCCGGGTTGGACTTTCATTTGGAAGGTTATGAGTTCGAGTCTCAGTTGAGGCGTTATTGGTACAATGTAATAGGGCCAGTAACATTCAAAAAAATCTTTTACATCAATAAGAATAAGATCATGAGAAATATAAGTTACAAAAACTTCACTCAATTTTTATACTATATGACCAAAATTCATCAAATATACTCTTGCAGTCAATTCCTCGACTTATCCACGCGCACTTAAGTGCACGACGCAGTCTCAGTTCCTAGTCACATTGCGTGAGTGGGACGACCCATTAATCGCGTGGGAGATGAGAGCTTTTATATATATACACTGCAAGGGAAAAAATAGAAATATGTTCAGAAAATAGAAATAAAAAAAGAAAGACACGAAAATGAAAAAGGAGTCTGAATCAGAGAGGGAAGGGGGGGAGAGAGAGTATCGACGGGCAGAGAGCGATCGGAGAGAGAAACTGCGGAGTGGGTCTTCAAAATTTTCCGATTTTTAGATAGAAAATTGAATGCGAAGCAATTTCCAGAGAGAGGAAGGAGCAATGGAGGAAGAAGCTGATGTCTGGGTACCAACGGACGAGTAGCAAGAAAGAACGAACGAACGAACGAACGAAGAGCATTGCAAAAGCGAATTCTTTGAATTTTATTTTCTTTTTTGTTTTCTGAATCTGAATTTTGGAATCAGTTTCAGAGAGCTACACAATAAGGTCTGCCCAGCTTATCTCTTCTCTCTCTCTCTCTATAGATCAAGTATTAATTTTGAGGTTGAATCTCCGTCGTTTGAACCTCAATTTTCTGTTAGAACAATTTTGAACTTAAAGTTTGAAGCTTCAAGCTTTAGTATTTGTGTTAGAGGTGGAATTTTAGTTTATTTTGGGGTTTTCGTGGAATGTTTGGGAAGTTGAACTATTGAATAGGGGGGTTACTTGGAGGTAAAGGGGCATATACTTGTTGGGAATGGGGATTTTGTTTTAGTTGTAGTTTTGGGTCTGGAGGTTTTGGCTTATAATTTGAAAATTGGGATTTTTTTTTTCGGGGAGAGTTTGGATCTCAGGGAGTGAACCTTGGCCCACTCCAATCTCTATTGCTTTAAAAATTGGGGTTTCAGAGATGGGATCAGGTTCGGCATTGTTGGTGTTGCTATTAGAGGGGTTGAATATTGTTTGGAGGATGAGTATTTGGAAATGGAGCAAAACCCTAATTTAGTGGTAGAATTGGGGTTTATAGGTTTTGGTGTTTCTGAATTCTGGGCAGTGGAAATTTGTTATAGAACTTTGCTTTGCTTTTGTCTATGGACTTAATGTGCTGAAGAGAGATGCAACCTCCACATCAGCCGTCACGGATCAATCTTGCTGAATTGAAGGCTCAAATAGTGAAGAAACTTGGACCAGATGGGTCAAAGCAGTACTTTCATTACTTGAATAGGTTGTTGAGCTTGAAGATAAGCAAGACTGAGTTCAATAAACTTTGTGTTAGGATTCTTGGGAGAGATAACATTCCACTGCATAATCAGTTCATACGTTCCATTTTGAGAAATGCTTGTTGTGCAAAGGTTCCACCTCCAAGAAATGAGAATGAAGTTTTGGCGCAAGCTACAGTGATTGGCAATAAAGCACCTCCAAGTGATGCTATTGGGCAAAATGGTCCACATGTTGCTAGAAACCAGGCTTCATATCAACCAGGGTTGTCAAACGGGGATATTCTGCCATCATCTCCTCGAAAAGTCAGTAAAAGTTTTCATGATCATAGAACTGCAGACAACCATCGTGCATTTGGACCAAGTGGGAAGGCCAATTCCACTCTTCCACAACCAACAACTACTGTGTCGAGTGATTTTAATATGATCGAGAATGGGGGCTACAGTACACCTGATTTACATGGAGCAGTGCAGCATCATCAAGGACTCATGCAGAGAACCGAGCAGGCTCATGACCCTGCAAAATCTTCAGTAATAAAGATACCACAGGACATTCCAGTTTCTGTACATAACAAAGACCAATTTAGAGATGATCAGGAAGAAATTCATGCTAGGAGTTTACTTCAAGCTCCACTTGGTGTTCCACTTTGCATGGTTAGTGTAGGTGGGGCCCGTAGAGCACCTTTGGCAACCAGCAGCAAGTGTGTTAGTACTTCTAGTTGTGGTGCTTTGTTAGACAGTATAACCCTTAGGGAACGCATGAATCAGATTGCTACAGAACATGGCCTTGAAGGGGGGGTGTCTATGGATTGTGCTAATTTGTTGAACAATGGTCTGGATTCTTACTTAAAAGGTTTAATCAGATCTTGTGTTCAACTTATTGGAGCAAGGTCAGGGCATGGGACTATGAAGAACAACGCTGTGAAGCACCAAGCATATACGAAACCCGTTAATGGTATCAGACCAGGCCATCATTTGCAGTTAAGCACTAGCAAGCCTTCGGAACTCAGTCAAGAGCAGCAGTTACCTCATAGTCTAATATCATTGCAAGATTTTAGGATTGCAATGGAGCTGAATCCCCAGCAACTTGGCGAAGACTGGCCTTTGCTGCTTGAGAAAATATGCACACATGCATTTGATGAATGTGTGTGACTTTGTTATGTTCCGTGGAGCTTTGGATGGTCCCTACTGGATTTAAAAGCATGGGTTTTTCTTAGGCCTTATTGCTGCCATATTGTGATACACTTCTCTATTCTTTCCGAGGCCTTTTGTGCCCTCTTAAAGTTATAATTTTCTTTGCTGGCCTTATGCACCAGTCTGCCACTGTTGACCATAAGCGTTGTTTCTTACAAGATGATAAGGACTGGAGTTCGACATATTTGTTTCTTACTGCTAAACAGCTTGTTATTGGGCAGAAACACCACATTTGTTAGCAGCCACTGGGAAGGGAATCAAAAAGAAGAAGCCCACCTTGGCTGCCCTGTTGTATGATTAGCATAATTCTCACTTCATATCTTCTGCATTCTCCTGTAATTTATAGTTAATGAGGAATTTAGAACAGTTTTGCAGGAATAATCATGTAGTTAGTATGTTAGCGAAAAGTGAAGATCAATGATGCAAAAGCTCAAATGCATGTATCTTCAGAACCAAGATTGATTGGAATTCAATGTTAACCACACGTTTCCACCACTACCCTGACCATGGTAGTTCAAATTGTTTTTATTTAAAAACTTGAGTTTATTCATTTTTAGAATTTCCAGTGCTTAAACTTTTTCGTTTTCCTTTACTTTTTCTACTTAATACCTGATACTTTTTTGTGTTGAAGATAGCCTGTAGTTGTGCTTCCATTCTTTATGATAAATGAGTATGATTGCAGTCATGCTGGATATTATTCTGTAATGGGGCAATTTGTTATTGCTGAACTTATTTCATCGAACTCTGGTGTGGTTTTTGTGTGCGTGTGTTTTTGTAGTGCTTGCTTTTGTTCTTTTGGTTGTCAGCTGAAGTGGGGGTTCTCTCGGTAGCCTCTACAAGTTCAGGTTGCCTGCACATATTATGATGTGGGACACCGAGAAGTTTGTTTGTAAGTTCCCTATTCTGCCCTTTTAACAGACATGTGAATGTTGCTCCTGCTGCTGTCATATATGCAGTAATTGTAGGATCAATATTTTGAAGAATATGCTATTTTGCTGGCCGTGGACCTGTTGATTGTTACAAAAATGTTTTTAAAGAGATTCATCATTACCAGCTATTGTCAGTGCCATGATAATTGTTTTGAGTGGGGAAATAAGTGTGCGGTTTAGAGAATTGAAAGTAGGATGGAAAGAAAGGTTTTTGAAAGTACCAAGATGGCTAAGGATACAAACTTCTAACCACAAGGTCACGAGTTTGAATCCCAACTTTTTTGGTTTGAGCTGGTTAGCCATGAACAATCTAGGCTGGTTTACCTCCTTGTGGCTATTTGCTGGCTAGAGTCACAAAGTGGTTTGGTTTCCCTCGTCACCCAAAGAAAGATCACGCTCGAGCCCTCGGATGCATATATTATGGGTAGTAGATAAACATACATGCACTAATACTGATATGTGGACATAAAAGCCATACTTGAGAACATCATTCAAGTTTTATTATTACTGCTGACCTGCTGTAGTGCTGCATTTTATTTTGTTTACAGATGGGCATGATTTGTTGAGAAAGATGAACTAGCTAACTGGGATGGTAAAGATTATTATAGCATATCTATATCAAAATTGAGAATTGTTTACAACAAACATTTTTTCTAAAGCAATATTGAGTAGTTCTCCGCCTCTCCGGCATTTTAAAGAACAGTGTCTGACAATCACAAATGCACAATGTACTTGAAAATAGTAACTTTGAAAGTTCCTTCCTCCTTCAACTCTCTCTATTATTCATCAATGTTCTTCATATATTCTTTAGAAAGTTTGGACTCCATTATAAACTTTTGCTCTTTAATAAGACCAAGCCCTGATTCCATCAAAGCTTCCATTGTTTGCTGTTCAACTACAAAGTGAGGTATACATTTTGGGAATATAAACAAGAAGTGGGCAAAGCACATATCATTATTACCTCTGGGGGAATAAAAACAGGAAGCTTCCCATCCTTTCTCTGCCTAAGAAATCTCCTGCCAAGACCTTCAGCACCTCCGATGTCATCAACCCACTATATCAAAACAATAAATGAGTGCCCGCAGGCTTAGTTTACTGGTTTAGTAGGCAGTATTTGGGAGAAAAAGAAAACAATAAATGAATATTATACCCCAATTCTTCACTTCACTTTCCATGTTCATGGAAACAAGAAGTTAGTAAAATTGGATAGATCAAATCAGTACTTACTACCTTTAAGATTGACCGGTCATATGTCCGCGATCTCATAGCTCCATAAAAATCCAAGGCTGCAAAACTCCATTGTAAGTATCAGAAAAGCTATAAACCCGAGTTATGCAAGGTCAAGTAATGGTATCCAGAAAATTACCTTGATTAGGAAATTTATTAACTATCCTGGCAACCTCATCCTGTGTTATGCCATCTTTCTCATACATTCGAGAAACAATATTTACAATGTCTTCCTGGGTGGGCTGCCTGTTCCATGAAAATACATATATATGTATACCATCATTCCTTGATATACACTGACATTTTTTTGCCAAAGAGACAGAGACAGGGAAGTACCAAAAAAATTTATCCATCCTTCCATCACGAATTAAGGGAGCATAAATTGTTGAAAAGTCATTTCCTGTAACAATGATAGGAATCCTATGTGTAATATCCGAGTCTCTCCAGACCTGTCCGATACTTACTCTTGTGGGATTATCTGCCAAGTTCATCAGAGTTCCAACAACGATTTGATTGTTCACTGTCACTTGAGTATTACCTACAAATATACAAAAAACGCAAGGTGACAGAGAAATCAAGAATGCCAGTTAATGACAGAGTAAGTAGGAAAGAAGACAAGCCTCGAGATAATGAGCAGAAGGGTAAGTATTAGAAGCTTGTGTCTGTGTGTGTATATATAGTTGAGATAAAGTGAAACTTACCAAATCTACCAAGGCCAGCATCAATGTCATTGATCATCAAGCAGCTCAGCTTGCCCTATTTTAGCAAAAGAAGCAGTGAGGACTAAAAATGTACAGTATAGCTTAAATACCGAAAGGGATCAAAATATGCAATGTCCTGCTGATTTTCATTTCTTGGACATACATATACCAGTAGTGAAAGTATTAAGGCTTCTAACTTGGTTCTGAACCACTTGTGAAGCAGTTCTGTACCGTTCACGAATCAATTTTCCAGGTTCTCCTGTTGAAAATAAGAATGAAATAATTTAACCTTTGTTTTTCCTAGGAAACAGTGAACAAGAATTACAAGAGAATCAGACTCAAGGTTGGGACTGAAATTCCAGGATACATAGAATATTAGAATCCCTGACAAGTTTTAACTTTATATAAGTAAACACTTTAGGAAAGATCCATAATTTGGATATCAAATTTTTAAGAAAGTCATCCTACCAGCTCTTTCTGATTCCAATTCCCCTGCAGACATAATAACAGGCTCTACGCCCATGGTCTGAAAGATCAGTTCAGTTTGAAACGTTTTTCCTTGTCCTTTACCACCCCAAATGCCTGCTAGGAAGAAATGAGTGACAGTAAATAACCAGTATGATTCCTTTATAAATAGAACATTCTATTTGATAACCATGGGCCAAACCACACTAACAGATTGAATCCAATTTTCAATGTGGGAGTCTTAACAGTAAAAATAGCTACTTGCCTAGAATAAGAGGAACTTTGGCATTGATACTTTTAGCAATGAAGTTCTTCACTATGTGGCAAACTGCAAATAAACCAATGACAGGAACTAAGTCACTAGCATCTATAGTGGAAATTACAAACCGCTTTATTACGAACAGTCACACTGATTGAAATTTACCAACTTTATCCTGCCACCAAAAAAAAAAAATTATAAAAAAAAATTAAAAAAAATCAAATTCTCTTCAAGAGTTGGAGGAACCAATTTAGGGTATTAAAAGAGGAATGAAGTAAACTAAAAGAAATTACCAAGAAAAGTGGAGCAATATAGTAATCGCCTTGAAGATGCTCAAATGACCTGGTTACCTTCTGCCGATAATCAAACACAATATCCGCTGCGCACAACCAAACAATATCAGGAAAAGTTATTAAATTCCAGGGAAACACTTGATTCGATAGTTCAATCAAACGAAAATTGAAGCAATTTATGAAAACTTACAGTCTTTTCCGAGGAAATTTCCAGTGAAGAGGTCATCAATGACTCCCGCCCTAGCGCCGACGGCGATGTTCATGTTATCGGCCTCGGCACCGAGCCGGTAGAGATAATCCTTGCCTTCAGAGTCCTTGGCTTCCCACGAGGACTGTTCCGACAGCCTTTTCGCCTTCTTTTGCTCCGGCACCGCATTCGGGTTCGACTCTTCGTCTTCGCGCTGGCGATTCGAAGTCGCGAGTGATCGCACTGAGAGAGAAGAATGGTTTGGGAGTCTCTTTAAACGGGAGAGACGAGTGAAGTTTGGGGGAGTGAAGGGAGAGGAATGGTAGTGAAAGCAGAGCGCCATTGTTGTGGCCTTTTGCACTCTCTTTTTTTCTGACGATTTTGGCCGTTAAAAATGTAAGCAAACTGTTGACATTATCGTCCCAAAATCCGTTGATCGGTTGGTTTTATTTCGCGCCACAAATCCGACAAAAACCTGATCCATTTCTTTTTTTTCCCCTCTAAAGTATGAGCAAAACAATCATTAATATTGGACATTATTTATGATGTTTTATGTTTTATTTGTCATTATTTTTTTTATTTTTAAATTGTTTAAAACAAAATAGATTCAACTAAAAAAAAAAAGAATGTCTATAAATATTGTATCAATAATAGAGATTATGCGGTGACAATATTTATAACTTAATCTAAAAATTTTGTGTACCCTCAATATTTTTCTATCTCTGACACTACTAATTTGCTCGGTAACAATTAGTACTTAGTAGCTAGCTAATTGTATTAATATTTTTATTATCAAATTATAATAATTGTTTAAAAATTAGTTGCTTACTATTTTTAGTTAACGTGTAACAATATGTATACTGCATATATTTTATAATAATAATAATAATAATAATAATAATAATAATAATAATAATAATAATAATAATAATAATATATGATGAAATAATATAGGCCCTGTTTGGTAAAAAATTGGTCAATAGGTCAATTTTGGCTTATTTGACCACTATTAATTGTTTGATTTAGTTAAAATATCAGTATAAAGTTTGGTTAATTATTTTGCAACTCCAAAAGGCTAAAATTCAAAAAGTTACTCCAAGCAATTTTTTCTATCAGCTTTTTGAGAAAAAAATTATACCAAACAGCTATCAGTTAACAACTAATTTACCAAACACTTTTCTACAATCAGCTAATGTTATCAACTATTTATACCCTCTAATTAACACATTAGCTAACAGCCATTTTACCAAACAGGGCCATAATATGCCTTACAATAATAATAATAATAATAATAATAATAATAATAATAATAATAATATTGGTCAAATGAGAAGAAGTGTAGCAAGAAAGTTGCAACTGTCTACCGCTAGGGGATTATTGAGTTAATAACCGATTTGGTCCTCTGACTATCGCGAAACTACCGATTTGGTCCTCGAGTATATTCCTTACCAAATTAAGTCCTCAACTTTGCAATATTTACTCGATTTGGTCCTCCGTCCATTCCTCCGTAATCTCTCCGTCTTCTATGAGGATAACTTTGTAATTACACACAGCCTCCTTAATTCCCATTCAGACAGCGTATATTGTGGACTTGAATTATTATCCCAACGTATATTGCGTTCTTAATTATGAAGAAAACCCCAAATCGCTAACCCTAAATTTGCGTTCTCAGTCTGAAGAAAAACCTCGGTCGGTTTGTGGTGCATGTTCGATCAATGAGTATGGGAACGCCGGTGAGTGGGCATCGCGCATACACTTCAACAAGTAAGTTTTCATTATAGTTTAATTTATGAACAATGGTACGGTGTGTGTAGTATAATTCTGGTGGGTGGGTCTATGGTTTCTGCGCAATTTTTGTATAATATTGGTGGGTGGGTGTATGGTTTAGATTGTTTGTGTTGATAATGGCGTCCACTATATTGTCATATTGTAAACTGTGTATGCTTGTAAAGTGTGTATGGTTGAAAATAATTTTTTTTTTATGTAAACTTTGCATTATGTTGTCCTTTTTGTTACTTTCACTATGAATGTGGTCCCATGATTATATGTACCATTAATTTGCAGTAGGTTGTGAGCACATGGGGTCCAATTACTGTAAAGTTAAATTAATTCGTATTTTTTATGTTTATAATATCCAGTTATGTGTGTGAACCAGGTAGTTTTACACCATTAATTTCTTTGCTGTAAAAGTAGCTTTACAGTAGATGTATTAACTGCATTAACTTGTTTTTAAAGCAGGTAGTCATGGTAGTTACACATTTACCCTTAAAATAAGGCATGAGGGCAGAATACAGTTAGGTAACCCACCTAGGTATTTGGAAGGTAGTGTTAACTATTTCAATGACATAGATTCAGATATGTGGGGTATCATGACTTTAAGGGAGAAGGTTCAGGAGTTGGGATATAAGAAAGAGGACAGTAGGTGTTTTAGTAAGACTGAAAATGGTCTAGAAGAGCTAGTTCTAGATCTGGATACTTGGAAATTGGTTAATTGTGGTTTGCGGCCAAAGGAAATTGAGATATGGGTTATAGTAGGGGTGGTAGGTGAAGATGAGGATGTTAATGAAGTAAATGAGTATGGTGGAGGGAGTTCTGCTGGGGATGATTCTGGTGGAGGGAGTTCTGCTGGGGATGATTCTGATTGGGAAACTGGAGAGTATGGTGAACATTTAGAGGACTTTGAAGACAGTGATTATGAGCAGTGCAGAGTTGATGACCAGGAATTTATCAAATTCACAGATCCAAATGTTGAGTATGTAGGAGATGGAGGTCTGGAAATTGCTACACAGTCAACTGGAGAACATAACCCTATAGTTGAGGAGGTTAATTTATCTGATGGTCCTATTCCAGAGAATGAAACTACGGCTATAGTACATGTAGGAGAATCAGTTAGGCCTATTCTTCCTCCTCCAAATTTGCCTTCCCCATTGTGGCTTGGAAAATGTTATGTGAACAAAGAGGCTTTCAAAGTGGATGTTCACACATATGCTGTCCAGTTTGGAAAAGAGCTAAAGTTTAAGAAAAATGACTAGGTTAGGTGTGTATCTACATGTTCCCAAGAGGGGTGTAAATGGCAAGTAACATGTAGGAAAGATTCTGATGAAGGAAATTGGAGGGTGAGTGCCTTAAATGATGAGCATTCAAACTGTCCCTGGGTGAATGATAACAGGTTGATAACTGCAAGATTAGTTGCAAAGAGGTGGAAAAAACACATATCTGGAAACAGTACTTTGAAAATGAGTGAATTTAGAGAGACAGTGTGCACAGAGGATCGACATTCAATGAGTATAAGGCAAGCATACAAGGCAATGAAAATTGCCAAGGCTGAAATTAAAGGTGAGATTGAAGACAATTTCAACAGAATATGGAGTTATAAATTGGAAATGGAAAAAACTAACCCCAATAGCAAGTGCGAAGTCAAATTATCTAATCTTGAATGTGAGGGAGGTAAAAAGAGATTCCTTAGAATATATATATGTTGGGAAACATGTAGAGAGGGGTTCAAGTACTGTAGGCCAGTGATTGGGGTTGATGGATGCCATATTAAGGACAAAGCTGGTGGAATGATGCTCACTGCAATTGCTCTAGATGCTAATGAAGGAATATTTCCAATTGCATATGCAATAGTGGAAGGAGAGAACAAAGATTCTTGGTGGTGGTTTTTACATCTTTTGAAAACGGACATGCAAATTGACAATATCTCTCAACATAAATATACCTTCATGTCTGATAAGCAAAAGTGGCTTATTCCAGCTTTTGAAGAAGTGTTACCAATGGTTTCTCATAGATTTTGTGTTAGGCATTTGCATGCCAACATGAAGGTAGCTGGCTTTGGAGGAATGGCAGTTAGGGATGCATTATGGAAAGCTGCTAGGGCCACAACTGTACCAACATTTTCACAGGCCATGAGGGAGTTAAAAGCATTAGATGTACAAGCTTTTGCATGGTTCATCATTGGATGTATGTATCACAAGGAAAACTTAAACCATTCAGTACTTGCTTTTAACCATTACAAGAGAAGCTACCATTACAAAGAAGCAAAAACCAACACCAACCATTCAGCAAAAACCAACATAAACCATTCATTGCTTGTTACATTCATTACAATAAAGGAAAAACCATTTAACAATTACAAGGGAAGCTACCATTACAATGAAGCAAAAACCAACATAAACCATTCATTGCTTGCTACCCTTCACTCCATTACAATAAAGGAAAAACCATTTAACCATTACAAGACAAGGGAAGCTACCATTACAATGAAGCAAAATCCAACATAACCTATTCATTGCTTGCTACTACCATTACAATAAAGGAAAAACCATTTAGGCTAGAGGAATGCTCCCAACCACTACACATTGGCCCTTGAAATTACACAACATAAGCACTGCTACCATTACACACACAAAAATTAACACCTTAAACCAACCCTTTGCCTTAGACTTCGACATCTTAAACATGCCAGTTGAGTCTCTTAGCTGAGCTTTTAGCCTTTCAATCTCTTGATCATTTCGATTTATTCTTCTCAACAACCCGGGAATAATTGTCTTTGATCGTGAACACATGGGAGGGTCATACCATCTCACAAATCCACACCCACCACCACCACTTCCCTGTACAAACCATAAGCACAATTCTCCTTGTACTGAGTATAGAAGTATAAAAAAAAATGACACAACAAATAAACTATTCAAAGCATACTCACTTGATGTTCATAAGCACAATCCCAATACCTTCGTCCCGGATTATCATCTGTCCATGAAGTTCGCACCTTCAACCTACGGCCACAGTGGCAATTATATATGGATCTTGCATCTCCATAGTGCACTCTTGAATCACCCAAGCTCCCCTCACTAGTTGTATACATAGTTCGGACGGATGGACTGAGCTCTGAATAATTTAGGCTGGAATGGAAGGAAGGGAAGGCTTCGCGATTAGGGTTCTTATGGAAATACGTTGTCTTCGCGATTAAGAACGCAATATACGTTGGGATAATAATTCAAGTCCACAATATACGTTGTCTGAATGGGAATTAAGGAGGCTGTGTGTAATTACAAAGTTATCCTCATAGAAGACGGAGAGATTACAGAGGAATGGACGGAGGACCAAATCGAGTAAATATTGCAAAGTTGAGGACTTAATTTGGTAAGAAATATACTCGAGGACCAAATCGGTAGTTTCGCGATAGTCGGAGGATCAAATCGGTTATTAACTCGGGATTATTTTATAAAGTCTTAGGTATTCAGTCCTAAAGGGAACTTCTCTTCTACGTATTCTTCTTCTACTTCATTCAATGTTCATGGCCTATATATATGTAATACACCTACTACAAATATAATAGAGAATTTCGGTTTGGTTTAGCCCAAAACGACATGTGATTTTTACCGCTTCGATTTTCACGTTAAATTCTTGTGTTATTGTTTATTGTTCAAATAGGCAATCAAACCACACACGATAATATAATTAGGTCACTGAACTAAAAAAAAAAAAAAGTTACAATTGAGTCCCTAAACTAACCCATTTCAAGCAATTTGTCTAATTTGTAGGTTTCCCCCTTTCTAACCGGTCACCCAATTTAAAATATTTTTTAAAAATAATTTTTAAAAAAATTAATTAAAATAAACTTAAATAAATAAATAAATAAAAATAAACACGTCGTCTCCGTCGGAGACGAAGAATGTATCTTCGTCTCCACGTTGGAGGCAATGTTTTTTTTTAAAGTTTATTTTAATTAATTTTTTTAAAAAAATTATTTTTAAAAAATATTTTAAATTAGGTGACATGTTAGAAAGGGAGAAACCTACAAATTGAACAATTGTTTGAAATGTGTTAGTTTAGGGACTCAATTGTAACTTCTTTTTTTTTAGTTCAGTGACCTAAAATGCATTAGCTCTATTACATTGTAGTATCTGTTCATATACTTTCTCAATCTACTGAAACACAAAGAGCTAATAACGCCTCCATTGAGGCTTGAACTCACAACCTTCCTAATGGAAGTCCAACCCGGGTACCATTTGACCTTTATTCCTTATTTATTGATTTCCTGCAATTATCTTATTATCATTCTTCTTCTTCTTTTTTTATGGAGAATTCTATTTTCTCCATCAATATATTTACAATATAATAATTTCATTTAGTAAGAAATGTTTTATAATAAAAGAAAATAACACGAGGGAGCAAAGGACATTTTGGTTGCTGGGTGATGTCAGATACTCAGATGTGGGACATTATTGATCACCAATAAAAAGGGGTGGTTAAATTCTTCTCCTTTATTTGTTATTACATACGGAGTATTTATTAAACATTTCACATAAATATAATTATTATATCCCAAGGGCCCACACCTAGACCGAACAAAACATTTAGAAAGATGTATGACTCAATAGATCGGGTCAAATGTCAGTGTGCACAAGAAATCAACTCACTTTAGACATAATCTCTATACTACCGTTGCCGAAATTCGAACGTTAATTTCTTCTCGGTCTACTGAAATATTGAGCTAAACTCATGCCGGCAACAAGCTCACATTCTTTTGATAGTAATCGATGTTTTTAATATTACATGCATTTAATCATATTGAGATGATTAAATTGCAGTGGGGATATAATACTATCAAACATTCAATTCAGTGTTCTTTATAGCATTAACATTAAGCAGTGTTGGAAATGATATATATAATATGATATTGTAAAGACAACAGATGAGAATGAAATCAATAATTTTTGCAGTGCAGTCCCACAGGGATGGATGGGATGAGAACTAATTAGGGATTCCAGCTTCTAGTCTTGCTCTTAGGTTCTTTCTTAGAATTTTGCCTGAGGGAGACTTTGGAACAGAATCAACAAAAAATACCTTTTTTATTCTCTTGTAAAATATCACCTGCACACCCCAATATAATACAATATAATAAATTAGCTAGGTTTCTATAGTATTATTATCTGTGACTTATATCTTTAAAAAAAAAAAAAAAGAACCTGAAATAAATAGTAAAGACTGACCTGTTTAGAGACAAACTCTTTAACTTCATCCTCAGTGAGGCTACATCCATTAGTTTTAACAACAAAAGCAACTGGAACTTCCCCTGCCTGCTCATCTTTCATGCTGTAACATACAGTTCAGACCACAATTAGAATCAAAACAAATACTTCTTATATCCCATTTTATCTATCTTGTTTACTATTTATTGGTCAAACCAACTATTTCTTCTTTGTCTATTTTTTCTTTAATTATTTTTAAATTTGATTTTTTTGTGTTTTATATTAGTTTATAAATTTTATATATTAATACTAAATTTAATATTATGAAAAATTAAATTTAAAATAATTTAAGCATATATTAGTGTGCAACCTTTAGTTGGCTGTGTGGCTGCGATTAAGCATACAAGTAAACGTATTTTCGATTTTCGTTTTATCTTAAAATAGGAGTTTCTTGGGTTAATGAACGTGAAAATGTGATTGTTGTTAGACGACTTACGGGATAACAGCAGCATCAGAAATTTGTGGGTGGGTAAGGAGTAAGGCTTCAAGTTCAGCTGGGGCGACCTGAAAGCCCTTGTACTTGATAAGCTCCTTGAGGCGATCCACGATGAAAAGCTCATCGTCATCGTCGATGTATCCTATATCTCCGGTGTGTAACCATCCTTCCTTGTCGATTGTTCTCTCTGTAGCCTCTGGATCATTCAAATAACCTGTACATATAATATATACACAAAAATATGCTTAAATAGTTGACACGGGTTTAGCTCACCATTAAGTAATATTTAGGAGAAGAACTTAAATAGATAGCTAGAGGAAGTAATTGCATTCTTTAATTTTAGTATTTAACATTTAGTGATTATACTTTCAAACACGACAGCTGAAAAAATCATGATTTTTTACTACAATTTAACATATTTATAGTAGAAAAAATCATGATTTTTAAATTTATTTTTTAAATAAATAACCGCTTGACATGATTTTTATTGATGAGATTAAATCATGAATAAAAACGAAGTCCTTTAAATGTTTTGTCAAATGCTAGTAGTTGGATTCTTGCGAGTAATTTAACATGATTAGAACAAAATTTTCAAACAATTCGATCATCCACTCTTATAACTACTCGAACACGTAACATTTTGTTTAGAATGGTATTAATAATGTTATTATACTACAAGGTATTTGGTACTTGACATTATTATTACTTTTAGTAATATCATTTATCTGATACTCTGATAGTATGCATTAGTAAGTGGAGATATTTAGCATTTGGACCATGTAAGTCACTTAAGATGCATCTAATGATTATCTCATTCACCAAATTCAAGGTAAGAGTAATAACATCTAATACAAGCTCATAATGTTAGTCTTTACCTGAAATAAAAATTGTATTAGTAGTATAAAATGCAATTAAATAGTTGTTTTTTTAGTGTTATCTATGTTGTACATTATTTATATTTTTTTTTCTCAATTTTAATCCTTAAATTTTTCCTTTTGACCTTTTATTTAACTTTAGTCCTTAAATAGACTTTTCTTTAGTGTTTTTTTTTTTAATGTTATACATTTATATCTTATTAATTTATCCTTAAATTTAAGATATATAAACTAAATGAATATTTAACTGAAAAAAAAATTAAAATTAGAATAAAATCAATAGTCAAGAGATTATTTATGGTCAAATTGAAAGTTGGTGATGAAAATTGGTAAATATCAATACTCAATGAATCATTTATGGCCTAATTGAAAGTTGAGAATAAAAATGGGTAAATGTCAATAATCAAGGGATCATTCCTATAGTTAACTCTATTATTATTTAGGAAAAAGTGTCAAATTGGCCCCCTAAGTCGAATGGATAGTGCAATTGGGTCCCCTAAGTGAAAAAAGCTCCATTCGGGTCCCCTAAACCTGTAAAATTGTTCAATTAAGTCCAAGTTGACTTGTTTATCAGGTTAAATGCATACGGTGTTGACACGTGTCCTTATTTTATTTTTTTATTAAAAATATTATTTATTATAAATTAATTAAAATACTAATAATAATAATAATAATAATAATAATAATAATAATAATAATATAATAATAATAATAATTAAAAAAATTTTAAAAAAATAGCCACCGGCTGTCAACGCCGGACAGCCGATGGTTGTCTTCCTTCTTCAAGGATAACCGTGATCGTCCGGCCACGGCTGTTTAAGGAAGACGGCCATGGCCGTCTTCTAGATCTGGACGTGGACTACAGCCTTCGCCGCCGCCCTAACGAAGGGGACTGGAACGACCGTCTTCCTTAGACGGCTGTGGCCGGACGGCCACGGCTGTTTTTTTTTTATAATAATAATTATTATTATTTTAATTAATTTATAATAAATAATATTTTTAATAAAAAATAAAATAAAGACACGTGTCAACACCGTATGCATTTAACCTGATAAACAAGTCAACTTGGACTTAATTGAACAATTTTACAGGTTTAGGAGACCTGAATGGAGCTTTTTTCACTTAGGGGACCCAATTGCACTATCCACTCGACTTAGGGGGCTAATTTGATACTTTTTCCTATTATTTATGAATGGAATTGACATTTAAATTAGGGTGAGTCGTCTCATGTGAGACAAATTGAGTCAAGATGGAAATGTAATACTTATGTTGGAAAACATAATGCTAATCAGAAATAAATTATTTGTTACTTATAAGGAAAAAAATGATATTCTTTAAGAAAAATGTAATACTTTTAAATCAAAATGTAATATTTAGAGGTAGGATAGTTATTTGTGAAAAAAATGTGGATAAATTAATTGATTGTTACCTAATATAGAAAGTGTAATACTTATGAGGAAAAATGTGTTATTTTTTATGAAAAATATAATACTTTTCAATCAAAATGTAATATTAAAGGTTGAAAATTTCTAATACTTATGAAGAAAAATGTAATATTTATTAAAAATTCGATCTTCTTCATAGATTCGTGAGACGGTCTCATAAAGATTTTACCTTTAAATTATTGTTTCAATAATGAGTTAATTTTATTTTTGGTCCTAGATTTATAGGTGACAACCCACTTTTAATATTTTTTTTTAAACATCCACCTTTGGTCCTAGTATTATTGCGGCATAATCATTTTTTATCATTCATCTACAAAATCGTTGAAATGATGTTAAATATAAGGACATTTTGATTTTTTTTTTAATATACAAAATAAGTTGACCCGCTATATTTTTATTTTTTTTGAAAAAAATCCCTATTTGAAGACCAATATGTCTTTAATTTTATTTAAGAGCATTTAAACAGCTTTGTTGATAAAGGACAAAAAATGATCATGACACAATAATACTAAAACCAAATATAAATATTCTAAAAAAAGATTAAAAGTAGAATGTCACCTATAAATTTAAACCACAAATGAAATTAATTATTTCAATAATTTACTAAAACCAAAATTAATTCTAACCTCACACCTAAATTGACTTTCTTATCCCATTAGAAAAAAAAAATGAAGAGATATTATAATTAAGTGGGATCCGATCGAACCTTTAACCAATTATATATTATTAAGATAATATCTAATATATATATTTTTTGTTAAATAAAAAGTCAAATTCTATTTAATATTATGATTGATTAAAAAATATCCTATAAGTTTCTTAATGACTTCATATGATTAATTTATTTTTCCACATGGAAGACAATAAATGTATATATGTACCTTTCATGATTTGGTCACCCCTAATGCATATTTCTCCCGGTTGGTTCCGGGGTAAAGAGGATCCAGTATCCGGATCCACAATTCTCATTTCTGCATTTCTAACAACTGTCCCACACGAACCAGATTTAATCTCAAAAGGCTCTTTCGCAAAGGCTAAGCACATTGCCAATACTGACCCTGCTTCTGTCATTCCATAACCCTAATATCACAATACAAACCGTTAAACAATATTAAAGAAAAATAAGTGAATTTTTTTTAATGAAATAAGATAGTGAAAGTACCTATGATTTTTATATAATAATAAAGCTAAGATTTTTTAAAAATATTTTTATTGGCTATTAAAAATGTATCCCCCGATGAATTAATGACAAATAATTAGTTAAACAAAAAGTATGAAATTTTTTTTTACGGATTCCCAACGCACTGTGAATAAAATTTTAAACATTTTATTTAAATGCACAAATTAATTTGTTGATGACCTTGTGGTTAAGCGGTATAACATTAACTTTTTCCAATGAGAAGTCATCAGTTCAAACCCTTGTGACATCCCATTTGGCAGAATGATCAATAAAAAATAAAAAATTTATGACACCGGAAAAACGATCAAAAGCTAAAAATATTCAATAAAAATAATGTTTTCGACTAACATTAAAAATTTTGAAATTTCTTTTTGTTGTTATTACTAATTAGCCATCAGGAGTGATGCTTAATTCTTCCTTTAAGTACTACATAAGAAACTATCAATAGACAATAAAGTAATTGACAAAGACATCATACCAATTCCAATTCGGTAAACATATTAGTTGTTCCCATTTTGTTTGATTCATTCTTTCACACTTCCGTGATTCAGATTGAAACGAAAGCCGCTCATTATTATAAGATAAAGATACAAGCTCACTTTCAACGTATCAAAATGAAATTACTATTTTCATTCTTACATGAATTATTGTATTTAGTTATTTTCACCATTTATAATATATATAAACATAAATTTATAGTTTAAATATCAATTTAAAGTTTAAATATCAATTTAAATTTTACTCGAGAACGAACAAATCATTCAATTAATTATTCCGGATAAACATTATAAGTTTGCAACATTGCAAGCATATTTTGTAGGTAGGGGTGTTAGCGAACAAAGCTTTCGGCAAACTACTCGTGTTCGAAAAGTATTCATTTATTAAGCTAAACGAATATAAATAAACAAATATATATATATATATATATATATATATATATATATATATATATATATATATATATATAGTTGTGTTGTTTGTTTGGTTATTGTCTATGAACATTGATTAGTTCTTGTTCAGTTATTTTCAAAAAAAAAAAAAAAAACTATTTCTTATTAATGAACGAATTGTGATCATGAACATATGCATGTGCTTCATTATTAAGTGTTCATGAACGTAAATGAATATTTTCACAAATATTAATGAAATGTTCGTGAATGTGTTCGTTAATGTTAATATGCTTGTGATGTTTGTGAACGTTAACGAACACTAATGAATGTTTAATAAATAAACACAAACATGATTTTCAAAAACTTGAACACACAAACATAAACATAAAAAACTCTAAACATCTTAACAAACTAACACCAACAACCTCGGTTCGTTAATGGTCCCATTTGTGTGGGATTTCTTGTTTCTTTTTAGTTTAATAGGTTATCTAATCGTCTAAAATTAATACAATATGTCGTGTTTAAAGATATTTTAGATTTGACTTTTATACCTATATTATCTTAGTGGACCCAACTCATACCATTTATATATTAAATGTCATTATACAACTATGGTCTATATTGAATTAATGGCAAATGAAAGCTCCCCAACTCATATAATTTATTAAATGTCATGATTTCAACTACGATTTATATTATGCTCACAGCTAAATATAAATCCGAGTCATCATGCAATTATATTAGCTGATTTAGCTCCCATGATTATTAGTCTATTAAATACGATTAATTATACATTAATTTAAATTGGCACAAAATAAGGAATGCAAAATGAGAAAAGATTAGAACTTACTTGACCAAGTTTGGCGTTGGGAAATTTGGCTCTGACGGTGTCTTGAAGTTCCTTTCCAAGCGGCGCCGCCCCGGACATGACGGTCCTAACGGATGAAAGGTCATAATTGTCCACTACAGGGCTCTTGGCGATGGCGAGAACAATCGGCGGGACGAAGGGCCCAATCGTAACTTTGTACTTCTGGATGAGTTCCAGGAAGAGGTTGATATCAAATTTGTTCATAATAAGGATCCGGGCCCCGACCCGCAAACCGCAAAGCAAAATCGAATTGGAGTAGATATGGAAGAAAGGCAGGGCGCAGAGCACCACATCTTGGTCGTGGATGTAGAGATGAGGGTTTTCTCCGTCCACTTGTTGAGCGACGCTGGTGACGAGTCCCTTGTGAGTCAACATCACGCCTTTCGGAAGTCCGGTGGTGCCGGAGGAGTACGGCAGCGCCACCACGTCGTCCGGCTTCACCTCCGTCTCCGGCATGTCGTTCTCCTCCGCCTCCGATAGCTCCGAGAAGTGCGAGCAACCTTTGGGAGCCGAGTCGGTGCAGAAAACCTTGATTTCATTCTCCCATGCATATTCTCTGACCTAAAAAATTCTCGCAGTTCGGAATTTCCGATTCATTCCATCAAAATCAATGTGATTAATTAATCAATTAAAGTCGCACTCACACAACAATCCGATCGGCGATCGGCGATCGGCCTTACCTTGTCCACGTAACAAGCTAGAGTCACGATGAGCTTTGCATTGGACGCCTTGACCTGCTTAATCACCTCCGCCGGCGTGAACAGAGGATTCGCCATCGTCGCCACAGCGCCGCGGTAAGACGCGCCGAGGAACGCGAACACAAACTCCGGACAGTTGGGAAGCAGGATCATGATGGTGTCGCCGTGGTTGATCCCTGCTTTATGAAGCCCGGCCGCAACTTTCCGGCAACTGAGTTCCACTTCAGCGTAAGTATATACCCGATCATCGGAGCCGTTGATGAGGCAGGGGCGGTCCCGTAAGACGGAAATGTTCTGGAAGCAATAGGAATGGAGAGGGAGGTGGTTGGAGATGTAAATATCGGGGAGTTTTGATCGGAAAATGATGTCACCACCGCCCTGCTCTGTTTTGGTTGCCATCTTCAATGGAGTTGGTGGGAGAGGGAAGAAATGGACACACCAAATAAAAATTTAAAAAAAATTAAAAAGGAGAGGGTAGGCTACTTTTTTAGGTTTTGGTTAAGTGTGTCCTGAATATGAAATGTTGAATGGGTGCAATATAAATGAGGTGGTGGTGGTGGAGCAGGGTTGGTGAGGGACTTTATGGGAATTTTGGGTTGGTCAAGGCTAAATTTCTGAGAATAATTGATTTTCCTTCCCAAAATATCAAAATGTTTCTTTAATTTATAAATTATTTTGCCAACTATTCTCCGTGCAAATTTTGGTGAAAGTTCACTTAATCCACAGAATCGAATAATTTCGATTAACCGTTCTTTAACCAAAAGACTTCTGTTCAGTTAATGGGTAAAGAATTTACAAAACTTCAATTAATGATTAACTCCGTTCGAAACTATCGGTTAACCGAACGATTAATCAAAATTTTATATATATATATATATATATATATATATATATATATATATATATATATCGTTGTTTGAACTTTATAATTTGTGCTTTTATGTTTGTAGTGTTGTTATGATATTGTGTTTGTATAATTTTTTTATGGATTTATTATTATAGGTATTATTTTAATTAAATTTATTATTATAGGTATTATTTTAAAGATTTAAAACTTTAGTTTAAAAAACTTCGATTAATCGGTTAACCGATCAATTAACAAAAAGAATTTGGTTCTGTTAATTCGGTAATACAAAGTTCGGTTCGGTTAAACATTTAAAAATTTCAATTAAAACGGCTCGGTTAACCGAACAGTGAACTGATTACACACTCCTATCTATTGTGTCATGACACGTCTATTATTATTCTAAATGAGTGATCACAAGATCAATTTATGGTATGATATTGACAATTAAAAATGAAATTAACCTCTGTACCATAATTAATTGGTTATGATGTGAGTTTTATGTAAACATATCTTCCTTATTTTGATTCAATATGTGTATTATTTTACACTTTTATTAACTTTCTCAACAAACTAAATATATTTAAAAAAGAATTTAGAAAAAATAACAATGACAATCTTGTACGTTGAAAAGTCATGATTGTTACAAAGGAGACCTCACCATACTGAATTACAACATACATAAAAAATAAAAATAAAATAAAATAAAAAAAAAAGTTTCCGGTAACAAAATAGGGCTAATTGACTAACTTCATAATTTATGTGCTTTTCAGGTGACAATGCCAGAGTGGATACAAATAGAAAGAACTATTTTATTTTCTTTTTATTTAAAATAAATCAATAGGTTCAAACCGATAATAATTTTTTAGAAATACATTTTATCATTTACTTAAAAAAAAACTAGTTTATATTTAAAATTAAATTGTATTTTTTATTCATCAAGTGTAGTGCTATTATGAAATATGGTAGGTGTGTGCATAAAACCATAACTAAAAAAATTAATGATTTCTTTGAAATTCTATAGTTTATTAAATTGCATAAATTATTGGATTCGAAATTGTGTAACTTTGTCTTACCAAACTCCATTAGATGTAACATGATGAGATTCATGCATGGCTGGTTTTGTAGAAATAGAGGTAATGTGTTTCATTTAGTTTCTTCTTATTATTTGTACATATATATATATATATATATATATATATATATATAGTTATAAATGTAATTTAAAGAATATGATATTTACTAAAATCTTCTGTACATTGATCTCAATTTATATACCAATGAATTATAAATAATTTGATATGTTTTTTTTTTTTTTTAAATGCTACTAATTCTATTAGATTGTAGTATCCGTTCAAGCTGTTCAAAAAGTCAACAACACCTCCAACTAAGACTCGATCTCATAACCTCCTACATAGGAAAAATCACTACATGCCATCTGAACACAAGGTGCTTGACAAATATTAATTGCTAATTAGCAAGTGAATTAAGAAATGTTACTTTTGCTAAACTTTTTAGAATTTTATATAAGAATGAGTGTCAAAATATATCCTGTTTAATCGTGAAAAATTATAGACACTTAATTGTATGCATGTGCGCTGAAAAAATGCATGTATATATATATATATATATATATATATATATATATATATGATTCGTACCATAGAATTTTCTCTTTATATATATTATTAGTGTGTATATTCTTACACGTGTATTATATTGTTGAATATTAACTGCCTACTTATTTTTTAAAAATTACACTTTTAAAAATCACCAAAATCTTGTGCAATAGCCAATATTGTACTAAGACCGGCCATAAAACGGATCATGTGATTAAAAAAGACTATTCCCACTTATGCTAGTAGGTAGAGCATCATAATTCTCATATTTCGATTTAAATTTGTCTATATATATATAAAAAAGTTTGTTGGTAAATCATTATTATTATTATTATTATTATTATTATTATCAATAATTACAAATAAACAATAAAAATAAAGAAAAGAGTGTGGTTGGTGAGAATTGGTTTAGGTTGAGCTAGCATGCATGGGTCCAACCATTTAGGTGGCTGTGAAAATATATGATAGATTGACTTTTGGGCAAAGTTGATGACCTTTCCAGGTAAGCCTCTATCTTACCTACCACATATATACATGCCGGACACTTCTGGTCAGCGGCGACCGGACGCCGGCCATCCCCTTCCACCTACTCTGCAACAGCTACGGGCCGTATATATATAATTCAGAGACTTATCCACTTTATAAACTATTAAATACATATTTAGTGAGGAAAAAATGAAGGTTGATTTATGAGCTCTTAACAAATGAGTCTACAAGTATTCAAACTCTGTTTGTTTATGAATCGAGCTCTAAAATTTGTTCATTTATGTTTGTTTATCTTAATAATCGATCGCTTAAGAAACACGAAATACGAGTAGTTTATCGAAAACTGTGTTCTCTAACATCCCTAGTACGAAATACTTTAATAAGTTGAAAAAGTATATAAGATACAACATTGTAAGATATTGTAATAGAGTCTGTTATACTAAAGAAGAAAAAAATGTAATTTGTGTTTTGACTTTTCCGATGGTGGTATGATTTCTTTGAGCTCTATGTTTGATACCCCATATCTTATGGGTTGTTTGGTTGGATGTAATTGCAATTCAATTACAACATAATTCTTTGGCCACCCAAATTACACTGTTTGGTTGGGCGGAATTACAATTTCACATAATTGTAATTCCCTCATTTTGTTGAATTGTAATTCATACCCTCTCTCATATGAATTGCAATTCAATTGGGGAAGGAAAGGGAAAATGAAAGAAAATGACTTTTTTAAGAATAAAGTACAAATAAGTCATTGAACTATTTGAAAAACAGCAATTAAGCCACCGAACTCAAATAACCCCAAATAAGCAATTGAACCCGAAAAAAAAAAACACAACTAACATTTTTAACAGGTTAACTCTAGATTTTTGCTGACTACATTGCCAAATGTTTATTTTATTTACGTTTTTTTTTTTAATTATAATCCACCTACATAGTAATATATTTGAGGGTTATTTGAGTTCGATGGCTTAATTGTTGTTTTTCAAATAGTTCAGCGTCTTATTTGTTCTTTATCCCTTAGAATTATTATTACACAAGGACATTTTAGTCTTTATACCACTTCTTCTCTTCTCATTTCCAATAATTCTATTTATCTCTACCAAACAATGTAATTTGAATTCCTACCTTATTTTTTTCCCACTGAATTACAATTCCTTTCCCCCATAATTCTTTCCTTCCAACCAAACGTCATGTTAGTTGTTTGGCTTATTTTTCAGATATTTATCAGAGTTTAATTTGTTGTTTCTTGTACAGAGTACTTTTTTGTGAGTTAATAAAATATTTCATTACTTCAAGAGATAAAACTACATGTCAATTTATGCTTTGAAAGAGGTGTCCAAGTTAGTAAAGTATAATTTTTATGTATGAAAGTTATAAATTCAATTCTTGCTAACACCCTCTTAGTCGAGTCCATCATATAAGGTCAATCTAGACAATCAAAAAGTAAATTGAGGTTAAAGTACAAGATATTATTACCAACACCCTCTTAACCGAATCCATCTTACTAGTATCGTTTTTGCATCAAATTAATGATATAAAGCTATAAACCACCGCATTTCAATCCCCGCTCACTTTCAATCTACTTATCTACCCAGCCAAATCGCCCACTTAAGCCACTTGTAATTTGGATGACTAAATATAACCCCCTCTTAAAATGGATCAAAATTGAGGTTAGAGCACACCCTTAAATAGTAATTATGATTTCCTTTATCATCATTAAAAAAAAAAAAAAAAAAAAAAAAAAAAAAAAGAGGAGGTTAGAGCATATTAACAATGGTTCATATAAAATTTAAGCCACTCAACAATCAACATTAATTTTGATATCCAATCAAAATGGCTTGCTTTAGAACAAATAATCTAATATTTCAACTTATTCTTTTCTCCTTTTTTGTTTAATCAACTCAAATTATTCATTTGCCACCTAGATCATTAAGAGCGTCCCCAATAGACAATAGGCATAGATTTGAGTGTGACTAGAAAATAGAAGATGGAAGCAAAAAAAAAAAAAAAAAAAAAAAAAAAAAAAAAAGTTGCAAATTAACGCGCTCGTCTCGGCACATCCAGGTGGTTTTCATGCGGTAAGGGGCAAGTTTTTTTTCTTTTTGGATGAGTCTCACTTTAGAGACAAAAAAAATCGTATTCTTGCACAAAGACCCATTTTCTTCTCTCTCATCTCCCTCTTTTCTCCACATAAACATTACAACCTCAAAAACCTCCCCAAAAACCACTATTGTGGTTGCCCTAGTCAACAACATTACACCAATATAATGACATCATCCATTTGGTCATGAAATGTCATCCAGTCCATTTTGGTCATTTGGTCTCTCCTTATCCTTATTCCCACTCCATCTTCCTACTCCACCAATACTTTCAGCAACTGAACTTTCAACCATAAACCTCTTCTTACTCTTCCCTTTATATATCTATCTAACCTAAACAAAGGCATCCACTCAAGTTTGCATCATATATTACTCCCACATCTCCATAATATACATGTTAGTGCACTTTGACTAGGACATAAGGTGTTGACACAAAGAGGCAATAATGCAAATTTAGTGCTCTTCCAAGTCCATGAAAGGGAGTCATTTCTTGTTCTCACTGGTTTCGTTTTGAATGCACACACTTGTAGAATGCTGGATTCGATCCTCTAGATTTCAACCTAACAATCTCTCGAACATTTGTCAAGATTGAACCTTTAATAGCGAATGGGCAATGCTTTTTCCTTATACTTAGATAGCAGCTACGTGTTTCAAATGCACACTGACGATAAGATGCTAGATTTAGCCCCCTTCAAACCTTTGCTCAACATTTTTTTTTTATACCCACGCATGGGAACTAGAACAAGTAGTAAATTTGAAGCTAGACTATAGGTCAAAAAGAGATTTAACTTATTGCCAAACTATACAAAGGCCCATAACCAGATTCGTTGGCATGAGTGATTGTGCACTCTAATCCCTTAAAAAGATCGGGAGTTCAAAATCCCCTCTGGTATGAAAAACCCAATATGCCCAACACTTTCCCCCTTAATTGGGCCAGCCCAATGCGAACAAGGATTAATCTGGGTATGATACAGGCTTAAAGGTATCTCCTATAGTTAGGGTCTACTCAGGACACCTCGTGGTCTAATCCCCCGAGAGGAAAAAAAAAAAAACTATACAAAGGAGGATGGCATGCAAGGTAGTTTGACTCTGATAATAAAACACAAATTTCAATATTTTGATCAGTCCGACAATTATACTTAGATTGCAGGATTTGCACTGGTAACTGGCTATTTCTACTTTGCTGGAAGTGGATTGATGTATACATGGAAAAAATTCTATAAAAGTAGTGAAGTATTCAAACTGCATTTTTGTAAATTACATGCATTTTTCTTTTCATTGTAAACCTCAAAATGGATTCTGTCAAATATTAATCAAATATGAGGCATAAATTCATTTTACCAGGCGCCATTGACCATTGTGCCTCATCGTGCCACAGCCTGCAACGCATCAAAAGCTCGACTCTTCTGTCGTTGGCCTTCTCAAGAAATACCGCAGACTATTTGCAAGAACCTGAAAGGTACGTTTCAGAAGATCATCCGTCACAATCCCGCAATATTTCCCTTCAAAACGCCAATAACAGTACGCGACTACTGAAAATTATGAAATTTCCGACCACCTGAAAATGATCTTAAATCAAGTCGAAAGCCTTGTTCCGACTACTTTTGGTATCTGGAAAAACCTTTGTTGCTATTTCCGACCACTTTTTGCTTTCGACTTGATATAAGATCACTTTCAGGTGATCGAAAATTCCATAATTTCCAGCAGTGAGTATCTATAATACTCGAGTTACATTATCTGATTACCTGTTGAAGGGGCTTGATTAGAGCTTTACCCTTGTAACTGACATGAAATTTCGCCTTAGCCAACAATCCCTAGGTACAAGAAAATTCGTTTCGTTTATCTTCATAATAGTACCATGACACAATGAAAAGAGGCGGGCAAGCTAGGAACTAGCTGTTAAGTATACCTCGGTGTCGAATTCTCCTGATTCAACGTCAATGTTTATGTCAGTAATCATCTTTACAAGATCGACTATTAATCCAGGTCGGTCCACTGTCTCCACACTGAGTAAGCTGCAAAAACACAAGCACGTTAGTTCGGTTGCTTTGTTAGTCTGCAACACAGCAAATCAAAGTAGAAATTCAATCACCTCCGTTCAGGGCCATCATCGTAGACATGGACATGTGTTGCTATATCCACGTCAACCTGAACATTTCCACCGCAAAAATGTAAGATAAACGTGGAATTATTGATTATAAGTAAGCATATTCAGAGCCCGTTTAATTTGTTTTGGATGCATCATAGTATTGTACTCAAGTAGGATGAAAATAAAGGGTGATTAATGGAAGATTAAGAACACCTTTTGACTTGGTTGAAAAACGCCAAAAGCTTCACCCAGAGCTAACTGGGAACTTGATTCCTGCAGATCCAGAAATCAATAAATAAAATTCTTGGTAAGAGTTACATCTAGTATGCGAAATTCTTATTATTACCGGATGAAACTCTAGCATATTGTTAAGAATTGTTAAACGAATTGCCTCGAGCAACTCTGGGTCGTCAACTTTTCTACCTGTAGAACTAGAAACAAGGCACAATAACAACATAATCAGGGTGAAGAAGGTTGCGAGACTCGGGAATCATTGCAGTGTGTAAATCAAGAAAAAAAGTTATAAAACATCATTAAACCATCATGAATCCAATCTTCAAAAAACGGGCAGTGGGGACCATAAACTTGTCACCTTACAAGATTTAGTTCTCTGATTGAAAGACCAGTAAAGATCTGACTTTATGTCAAGTGGCGGGCAAATTACAAAAAACCAAGATTAATCTGCAATGTGATCTTACGCTTTTGTGATTGCAAACTTGTTGTGCTTCCCCGAAGAATCAAGATAGACGTTTGCCTTGGTAACGTTAAGTCCAAGGTTCTTTAGCGCATTCATCTGAGACATATTTGATGATAACACTTAGTAACAACACTGATCATTTGAATCACAAGAGCGGGGGGACTTACTGTATCGATTAGTGCTCCTAGGCGATCCCCGAAGGTGACCTCTACCACAGTCGCATCTGGGTCTGAATCCAGATCTATTATGACTTTTGGTGTTGGAACTTCAGCAGTCTTCTCCAATCAGATTAAACATATGAACCTAGAAGATTAGTTTACATATGCATAAACACAAATTACATCAAACATTTGCTCGGGATACCTCAACAGTGGACGAGGATGCTTTTGGACATGTACTTGCTGACAACGCTAACCTGCGATAGGATAAAATGTAGACCGACTTCAACTAAAAAAGCCACTTCAGCTAATGAATGTCGCGTAACTTGTCCACTTTAAGAGCTTGCTCGAGTACTCAATTATTATGGAGTTAGCTATAAATTTGGGTGGTGTATAAGGATATGCCAACTAAATGGAACTTCAAGGACACCAATATTAAGAACTTAATTGCACTGTTTCCAGAAATTATCCACTAGAGTTTGCAAAAAGGACAGAGTTTAGTATTCACTAAAAGTCATTACCAAGCAAATCAAAATTAAAGAGCCCAAGTTGCAAGTGGAAATAGCTCAATTATGAAGAAACCATATGAAGTATAACATAGGCTGGGTTTGGTAACATAGTTAGCCTATCAGCCAATTTTGGCTTATTTGACTTAGTTAAACAATCAATATGAGTGTTTGATTAATTAGCTTTTTGTAACAACTTATTTCTCCAAAATGCTAAAATTCAAAAAGCTGTTCAAAACCGTTTTTTCGATTAGCTTTTTGAGAAAGTCATTTTGCATGTAATCAGCTATCAGCTAACAACTAATTCACCAAACACTTTTCTATCAACAAGTTAAACTCACTAACCCAATCAGCTAACAACTATTTACCAAACACCCCATAATCAATACAGAACTAAACAACAATCCAGCATGACCAATATATAAGGATTAAGGAACTCAATCAGCCAAATCCAAAAAAAACACTAACTTTAACTGAAAATAACCAAAAGCCACAAACAAAAACCCTCTCAAATTGTGTACAAAATTTGAATCCAAGTATAGATAAGCCAATCTCATGACATTACAAACAAAATGGGTCTGCAACTACTCACACAAATTGTTCAAAGATTTCAACTTTCAAGATAATTCCACACAGAATTGAATGAACTTTCACCTCTTGGGAACAATGCCAACCCTATGAACTGAACCCAATTCAAAAGAGCCTCTAAGAACACCACGGATTGAAATGGGCTGCTTCTCGATCGCTCTTAAACCACTGCAAAGCCCAGAAACAATCCCACCAGAAGCCATAGCTACTGCCATTTCAATTCAACAAAAACAAAAAACAAGAACTGCAAAGAAACAAACAACCTTCAAAATTTGACCCTTTTGTAGTCTTTCTTGCTTTATATATTTAGATAAAGGAAACTTCAAGAGAACAGTCTGGTATTCTTCTAGTAATATCCTCCATTGTGATAAGAAAGCAAAGAAGCTGTCTTTATAGTAGTAGATATTTATGAGTATATGGATTTATCTCCAACAACTTGTAAGGCACAAAATCTGCGAGCTTTGTCTTTCTTGATGAAAGCTGAGCCTCAAAATTCAATCCGCTTTTATCTACTCACAGTTTTTTCTGCAGCGTGAGAAAGAGGGAAAAGCAAAGTTAAACCGATCAACAAACCACCCATTTCTTTCACTTTTTTTTTTTTTTTTTGAAGGTAGTAAGTCGTCATCGTCTTAGTAATAGTGACGCTACTGGTTGTGGCTTGTGAGAGAGGGCCCTCTTGTATTAAGCAAATTTTAATGTCAAGCGATTCATGATATAAGTATCATTTTAATTACACTTTAAATTTATTTTTTACACACATTAATTTTACTATTGTAATATTAAAGTATCATTTAATGTTATTAAAAAAAAAATTGTGATTCATTAGTGTCACTTGTATGGTGTGAAAGTTTTATATGATTTATTTTTACTTTTTATTTATTTCAAATATCAACTTATTAAAATTTGTCATATTAAGAAATGGTTATTTTGTAAGTGATAAAATGTAAGAGCATGTAGCATTCTTTTTCTTAAAATGAATTAAAGTGTGTCGTATACTCGTGTAAATTGGAATATAGATACTATTACTCTTGTTTTATTTCTTGTAATAATTTAGAAAATAGTTATGTGCCGTTTGATTTTTATGTTAACAACACAAAATTGGCACGTGCGTAAATATGTGAAGAAAAATGATATTTTCCTTGTCAAAATCAGCACTATTGTATACAAATTAGCATGCCTTTGGATTAAGGGGATTAGTATGCATTTGGATAATTTTTACTATAAGTTGGGTTAAGGATTCGAATCACGCATAAATCTGATTTCTCTAGATGAAATAAGGAAATTTTGGAGAACATCAATGTGCCTGTAAACACAAAAAAGTAAGCTTTGTATATATTCACAAAATTCCGTGTACAGCGTGTGTATAATTCAATGCAGGTACAAAATATCTGTCTAGTCCTCTGATTCTTCACTGACGTTATCTATGGAAGTGCCTCCGGGATTTAAGTGGCGTGTGCCTCCGGGATTTAAGTGGCGTAGCTTCCGGGATCTAAGTGGCGTAACTTCCAACAACGAGCGTTAAGAATTTAGAAGTAATCAACACTGCAATGGATTCAAATTGCCTGCAAAATCAACAAAAATGCCTTCAAATCTTCAAGCGTTCTTCAAATCTTCAAGCGTTCTTCAATGCCTTCAAGCTTTAAGCCTTCAAGTTCTTTAAGTTTCAAGTTCTTCAAGTTTCAAGTTCTTCAAGTTTCAAGTTCTTCAAGCTTTCAAGTGTGTTTTGGAATGAAAATGAAGGCTCTATTTATACTAGAAGCCTAACCAACATTCCTCAACAAACTCCCCCTTTAATTAATTAATTAATTAATTATTTATTTATTTTAGAAAATGAACCTTGCCCAGAATCAAGTCCAGGTTCATTATTGTATAATCTAATTCAAATTCAAATTAAATTATAATTATCTAATTCAAATATAATAAAATTAATATTATATTTAAATTATAATTATAATTTATAATTCAAATTCAAAATATGAAATGAGCTTGGACCAGTTAATTAATTAATTCAATGGCCCACATCAACCTTAATTGGGCTAATTAAATTAAATTAATTTATATGATCCAATTAATCAAATTGGCTCAATCATCATTCTCAACATTGGCCCAATAACACTTTAATCGGTCCATTTATCGAGTTCAAATTTTCTGTGTCTACAGTACCTTTATAAATGAAGCAATTTTTATTTATTTATTTATTTTTATTTTTTTGATAGGAATGAAGCAGTTTCTTAATTTCTTTATATATATCATTTCAAATGCTTCATTGTGTATTATGTTATGTTTCTAAAGGATTTCAAATGCAAATTTTAATGTGGTGTTAATTGTTTGAATTAATTTATGGAATTATATTTTGTAATTCATATATTATTCTACTCCTTTCTTTAAATTTATTTTGATTTAAAATCGAAGTTTGAATATGAACAGATACTACAATGTAATAGAGCTAGTAGCATTCAAAAAAAAAAAAAAAATCGAAGTTTGAAATTATAATTATAGAAAATTGAAAAAACAATAAATGATTTGGAGAAGTGTATGGTTCACAAAATTGAGAGCAATGAGATATTTTATTATTATTATTTTTGTAAATGATGAATTCACCAATTTTTGATGGATTTGACCATAATCAACGTTGTTGCAAATAGCGTGTTAGGGGTTTGATGTTTTGGAAAAAGGCTTGCATTTTCTCAAAACGCTCTTAATAAATATTTTTAAAAATATATTTATATATTCAGAAGCCCCAAAGCTCATTTTATAGAGATGCATTGAGACTTCCCTTCAATATCCACCCAATATAGGACATCAGGAATCGGATGTGTATTAAAATATGAAAGACGGGTGTTGAGGGCTTGAAGCTCTTCTTATAGAGGAGCCTCAACTCCCTTCTTTCATTAATTACGGATGTGAGACAAAGGAGAACCTGTAAGCTCTCTTTTGTTATTGTTTTTTTTTTTTTTTTTTTTTTAAATTATTATTATTTTTATTATGGAGTATTGTTTCTTGAAAACCAATAATGACACTGCATTAAATCAAATGTTTGAAACAACTCGGAATAGAAGAAGTCCAAACAATAGGACCACTAAGATTATATAGTGATTTAAAAGAATTGAGCTACAAAATAGAGATAAGGTTGTCCTTAATTCAGTCAAGGATCCACTTATTAAATGATGTATATCATTTTTTTAATGTATACATAGATAACAAGTTTGTATTTGTTACAAATAAATTACAAATTTAGTGATGTAGAAATATAACTTATTTTCAAAAGTGAAAGAATATTGCAGGGATACGGATAGCATGAGGGAGAAATGAGAAGGGTTGGGGTGCCCATGTGATTCTAGGATAATAGAAGGTTTACCACATAAACAAACTTTTAAATACTATGATTAGGGTATTTACGTAAATACATGTTGACTGTGGTACTTTCTTCTTCGGTGCTCGGGAAAAACCCTTTTCAGTTTTCAGGCTGTATATTGAAGGGTTTTGCTCCATCTTCCCTTCAGCACCGCGAAGAGAGAGAATGGTGAGGCTAACGGCGGACTTGATCTGGAAAAGCCCTCATTTCTTCAATGCTATTCGCGAGCGCGAGCTAGATCTCCGAGGTTCGTCTCTCTTTCTAAAACCCTATTCTTCAACAACTCGTATACTTTCACTTTATTATCTCTGTACATAACCTGTTTTCAGGCTCCTTACTATGTTTCTCTTTGTATATTTGTTTGATTTCTGTACAGGCAATAAGATTCCGGTTATAGAGAACTTGGGTGCTACTGAGGTGATTTTTTTTTAAACCTAAAAATGAAGAATTTTTAGTGATTTTATACTATTATTGGTGTTTTGAGCTTGAAGTTTGGGATTCTTTGGTTAATGACAGGACCAATTTGACACTGTTGATTTGTCGGACAATGAGATAGTTAAGCTTGAGAATTTTCCCCATCTTAATCGGCTCGGGACTTTGTTGCTGAACAACAACAGAATTACTCGCATCAATCCGAAGATTGGAGGTGAGGCTATTTCACCATTCTGATTCTAGGATTATATTATAATAATAATCTGTAGCTCTAAAGTGGGATTTACTTATGGAAAGCTTTAACTGAATATGGGGTATTGCAGAGTTTTTGCCGAAACTGCATACCTTAGTTCTTACTAACAACAGGCTCACTAATTTGGCTGAAATTGATCCGCTGGCATCCCTCCCGAAGCTGCAGTTCCTGAGTCTGCTCGATAATAATATCACGAAGAAACCCAATTACCGCTTGTATGTCATCCACAAGTTGAAGTCTTTGCGATTGCTGGATTTTAGGAAAGTGAAACAAAAGGTTAGTCGTTTCTTCATATTTTTTCATATGGTGTAGATTCCCTAAACGATTTAGATTTTTCTAATTGTTATCTGTTGTCACATTTTAGGAATGGGAATGTATGCCATTTCAAAAAATTTCTTATACATTTCAAGTACATGATACTTTTCTGCCCTTCTGTGATGTGTCATGTCATTTAGCTTCATATTTTATACAAGACTAACATTTTTAGGGGTTTTGACTGATGATCTCAGAGCATCGGTGACCTTTATTTTTATAATTAATTACTTCTATATGATATTTTTGCTTGAGCTATATGGTTTTGTCTTCTGTTTACGCAGGAGCGTATTGAGGCAAATAATCTATTTGCGTCTCAAGAAGCTGAAGAACAGGCTAAGAAGGAGTCAGTGAAGACATTTGTACCTGGTGAGGTCCCAGCTACTCCTGAGGTGCCAAAGGAAGAGCAAGCACCTAAACCAACTGCACCTACACCAGAGCAAATTATTGCGATTAAGGTACAATTAACTGCTTTGTCTGTTGGAGTTCACTTATTTTAATTGAAAGTCCATTCAAAAGACTTTGTAAGTATATGGTTAGTGGATGCTCATTACAAAGTCCATGCACCCATATCTTTTAATGCAATAATCTATGTCCATCTCCTGTTCCTTACTATGCTATGGGTGTGTGTGGTAATGGTGTATGATCAGTTTCCTGCACCAATCCTTTCCCGAAAAAAAGAGGACATTCTTCTATCTTAATACTCTATTTTTAAAAATAATTTGCGGCCAGTCATTCTTCTATCGTTTCTCATTGACATGATATTTCAACTGGCTTGGTAAACGCTTTATATGCAGGCTGCCATTGTAAATTCACAAACTCTTGAAGAGGTTGCAAGGCTTGAGCAGGTGTGGAAGATTTTTGTTTCTCTCTTATTTTAAGCCTCGTGCTTTCTACAGTTCAGACAAGTTACTAATCATTTAAAACTTCTGTAGGCTTTAAAGTCTGGCCAGCTTCCTGAAGATCTCATCATTGGTGATGACGATGCTGGCTCTAAGAAGGATGATGCTAAAGAAGATAAAATGGTTACAGATGGTGAGGATCAAGCTAATAATGAGCAGGGAGATAGTGTCACTGAACAAAACGACGGTCCTACAGAAATGGAGCAGGTACATACACTTCATTACATCAATATGGTGACTCTGATTATATCATCAATTTGTGAAGTTTCTT